TATTCCTTTACCCTATCGCCCTACCCTAAATTAAATATAACAAGAGAGCTGTGCTCAAATATATGGACACGTCACAAGGTGTCGCTATTTTTTTATTCTGACACATAAAAAACGAATCTCTTGAAGTCCACAGAAATTTTTGAAATAAGTAAAAGTGATAGCCTTCTGGCGATAAAATTTATCTTTAACCACTGAAAATTTCAAAACAATTAGTCAAGTATTCGAAGAGAAAAGCGATTTTATCATGACCAAGCAAAAGAAAAATAATAATATAATATTGAAACGATCGTTATGTCCACAAAAGTGTACAATAATCAGCTTGGCGATATATTTTTCATAAAAATTCATCTTTACTGTTCACTCCTATTTATAGAATCGATCAATTCGGCAGTGGACAACAATATAAATTTATTAATATGGTGTGGCCAGTGATTTTTCATTTATTCATATATATTTTTTAACTACCAGTATGTAATTTATCATGTTCTTCTTACTTTATAACTTCTGTATGGTTGTGTATGTGAGCGTGTGTGAAATATTTTAGGTGAGTGAACACGTACCACTTCTTCTTGGCAAAACCCTCCATCTTATATTCTGTGCGTTTTCAACCTTATCTAAGATTTTGTTTGCTCTCCTGATATCATAATCGGTTTTTATTTATTTATGGAGTCGAAATAAACTTATACTTATTAATCGTGATAGATGAAACGCGCGCTACATAGCTTGGACAATTTCGAAAGCGCAGCCTGCCATGTCTTAGCAGGCTACATATGAATTGACTTTATAAGATGCTTTTCTTGCTGTTGTGGAAATAAAAACGATTTCCGCAGGAATCTTATGCTGTACATAGATTTCTTGTTCTTCCCGAATCTCGCATTTCATTGTAATGTCCTGTATAAAAACACCTAAATATAAACTTCCTGTTTTACAGCGATTTTCTCAATCTTCCCGCCTTTTCCGTTCTTCCCACCATTTTCAATACTTACGTATTTTGTTGCAATTTTCTATATAAAACACCTGAATACTTATTTTCCGCATTCCCGAGATATTCTTACTCTTCCCGCCTTTTCCGCCATTTTCAATGCTTACGTATTTTGTTTCAATTTTCTATATAAAACACCTGAATACTTATTTTCCGCATTCCCGCGATATTCTTACTCTCCCCGCATTTTCCTGCTCTTCCCGCTATTTTCAATACTTACGTATTTTTTGCCCTTTTCTATATAAAACACCTGAATACTTATTTTCCGCATTCCCGCCATATTCTCACTCTTCCCGTCTTTTCCGCTCTCCCCACCATTTTCAAGACTTACGTATTTTGTTGCAATTTTCTATATAAAACACCTAAATACCTATTTTCCGCATTCCCGAGATATTCTTACTCTTCCCGCCTTTTCCGCAATTTTCCGCTCTTCCCGCCATTTTCAATACTTACATATTTTGTTGTAATTTTCTATATAAAACAGCTAAATACATATTATTTATTTTTTACGCGATGCCCTTACTCTACCGACTCTCCCCGTCATTTGTCAATACGTTCGCTTTTCGTTGCCGTCATCGCCATCAATTACCGTTGTTCCCGTCATCGCCGCTTATTTAGAGAATTTCCCTATACCCACCCAATTTTCAGTGAAATTTCCCAAAATATCACATAGTTCCTACTCATGAGTAATATTTTCCGTAATTTCCGCTTTTCAATACAATTTCTTGTACCTACACATTCAAGTGTATGTTTCCCGTTGCTCTCGCCTTCTAGTACAATTTCCCGTACATACACAATAAAATGCCCATTTCCCCAATCATAGAGCTATTTCCCGTCATCCCGCTATTTCCCGTCCCACTTTGTGTGAAATTCCCCGCTATTTAGTGAAATTTCCCCTACATACACTCTAAAATGCATATTTTCCCTATCTGAGAGCAATTTCCCCACTTTCCCGCACTTCGTAACATTCTCCCGCTTATTAGTAAATTTTCCCGTCATTAGGGCCCTAAGATGCGGGAAACGGGAACGACGGGAAATGCACTAAAAAACGGGAACTGCGGGAACGACGGGAATTTGTCAATTTGAAATTGCGGGAACTACGGGAAATTTCACAAAAGACGGGAATGACGGGAATTTGCTTTAGGGTATGGGGAATATGTATTTTAGAGTATGTGTGAGGTAAATTTTCACTGAATGGCGAAAGTAACGGCAAGTTTATACAGTGCTGCCGAGTATGTTCATCAAGATGGCGCACAACCTGAACCAAGTATGTGTACCAGGCAGAGCTCAGGTTGTGCGCCATTTTGTTGCAAATACTTCCGAAGTGCCGTTTATTCTTAAGTGTGCATGTACGTAGTAATCGTACTATAATACATATTTCCTTTATCTTCGAGCGATTTTCCGTCATTCCTGGTTTTTGTAACATTTTCTCGCTTGTTATTAACGTTTCCCGCATTTTAGGGCCCTAAAATGCGGGAACTGCGGGAACGACGGGAAATGCACTAAGAAGCGGGAACTGCGGGAACGACGGGAATTTGTCAATTTGAAATTGCGGGAACTACGGGAAATTTCACAAAAGACGGGAATGACGGGAATTTGCTTTAGGGTATGGGAAATATGTATTTTAGAGTATGTGTGGGGTAATTTTGCATTGAATAGCAAAAGCAACGGCAAGTTTATACGGCGCTCCCGAAGTATGTGCAACAAGATGACGCACAACCTGAACATAGTATGTATACCAGGTTAGAGTTCAGGTTGTGCGTCATCTTGTTGCACATACTTCCGGAGTGCCGTTTATACTTGAGTGTGCATGTACGGGGTAATTGTACTAACATACATATTATCCGAATACATATTATCCGAATCCGAATATTATTAGAATCTTTTAGTGAAATTTCCGTATCCACACAACCCAAGCGTATATTTCCCGTTGCTTCCATTTTCTAGTGCAATTTCTTCTAAACATACTCTGAAATGAGTATTTCCCGTACTTTAACGCGATTTGCCGTCGTTCCCGCATTTTAGATAAATTTTCACGTACATACACCCCCAAGCGTATATTAACCATTGCTTTCGTTTTCTAGAACAATTTCCCCTAAACATACCCCAAAATGAATATTTCCCGTACCTTAAAGCGATTTCCCGTCATTCCCGCTTTTTGTGAAATTTCCCGCTTTTTAGTGAAATTTCCCGTAGTTCCCGTCATTCCCGTAGTTCCCGCATTTTAGTTTTTGCAATTTCCCGTCGTTCCCGCAGTTCCCGCATTTTAGTGCATTTCCCGTAGTTCCCGTCGTTCCCGTTTCCCGCATTTTAGGGTTGCCCGGTTTTTTAGTCAATTCGGCAATTACCGTACCGGTACTGTGTACGGTACGGTATGTGACAATGAATTCTTACGTATGTGGATTACATCAGTACCTACATACATACAGACATAGATTAGTAGATAGCCTACTGTTTTCAAAATGACGTAGGAAGTACGGCTACGGAAGTAAGTTTAATTCGAAAACTAGATCTGTGTGAAAATTGTGGATCATATTCTGTGTACCAACCATCAGACTATCCAGTTCTGTAAACCTGTGCTCAATTTGACAAAATTGAATAGAATTTTGCAGTTTCTGTTAATTACAAGAATAAAAACAAGCAATACAGCATGAAAAGCAGAATGAATACAATCCAATTTTGACATTTGCTGCATTTGAGTCTTTTCTTCTTAAACATTGTTTTTATTGTGTGTAACAACTCAGCGAACTGTTTGCAGGTCTGAGTAATGGATTTTATGATTTCAGTGATTTATAAAATAAATAAATCAATTCTGAAATCATTGAGTAATAAAAAATTCTTATCCCTTGTTATAATCAAGCTATCTCACTTCCAGTAATTCCTCCTGGCTTGTTTTGGATGTGCCAATGAATTGCTTAAAATGAACTTTGACCTCAATTCAACCTTTGAACCTGGAAATGAGGAAATCAAAAGTGGCAGCATCTCACTTGTTCATTAGTATCAAAATTTTCGACCAAACTTTCCATATGATCAAGTACTTATACTTGAACCAAGATCATTTCTGTAACAGTCATTTCTTCGATGGAACTCCAGTCTTTGATGCTATTGTTACTTTGTCAGTTGTTTATGTTTGATCTGCATAAAAACATTTGGATAGTATGATCGATTTGAATAGAGAATATGAATTGCGATTAAACTTTTCTCAAGCCCTAAAAATATAGACTCATTTTATTGATTGGAATGGTTGAAAAACGAAATAATAAATGGAAAAGTTGATGATGTACCTGTGACTCAAACGCCCTAAGTCTAACCCTGACCTCAAATTCTAACCACCCAAGCTGAGAAAAAAAACAGACTTCATTTTTTACAAGAGGCATATATCAACCGAGAGATATCTAACTGGCCATCTCAGTCACGCTAGGCCTGAGATACTTATTCTTGACAAATAAAAGTCCATTTTTATCATTGTTCATGACACCAAGTAATCCTAATGTAGAATTAAAAATTAACTGGTGCCACTTTGCTATGCGATCCCAGCTGTTGTTGCTCTCAGTAATTTTAGTATCAACCTAATCCTACCCCAACGATAGTAGGGTTAGGTACTGAATTCTACGAGAATGGTTTATGAGATTAAACAATTGAGATCAATTTAAGCAAATGAGGTCACATACGAAGTAGTTTTATTACACTGAGATCGCATACCAAAGTTGCATCGATTATCGTAATATAAACAATATGATTTACATGCCTACTTTAATGCTTCTATTTTCACCACTGTTGAGAAATGCAAATGTAAACCTTGTCATGTTAGATGCTAACTTTACTGATTGCATCAGGTTCGTATCATTTGGATAAGATACAATATGAAAACTCAATAGTTGTTGTTTTGCAACTGATCTCCTATTTTGATAATATGCTGCAAAAAAAGGGTCAAGTTTAAGTGAATTTCACGTTTTTTTTGGGGAACTTTTTCATCATGACTGTAAATGGTGCTCTGAATATGTTCCAGCCCCCAGGCACTAAAACATGGATTATGAATGGGTCATGCCTGACAGAAATTAAAATAAGGTATCAGACAAAAGAAAATTACCGTGACTCTCTTTACAACATTGAATATCTATGGTTCATGCATGGCAAGGATCAAAATAAACTATTATGCCGAAAAATATTAATATGACCCTCTGCATTATAAAATATCTCTCCAATGTTCAACAATTGTCTACTTTAGTTCAATTATACCACTCAAAACACTAAAAATTACAGAATTTTCACTCTTAGTTTTAATGATGATTATTCTGACCAGACATGCTTCAATAATTTTAATTTTAGGGTAGTTTTAAATTATAGTAAAGTTTAATATTAATTAAGACTTATTATTTGTTACTCTGCTGTTATTGTCAACCACTAATTAATTTTCTGATTCGTTGTCTTCAATAATTCTGATGGTTAGGTTAGGTTATCTCCAACTCCAACTTATTTTAACTTAAACAAGGATATATCTTTTACCCTATCAATCTGATACCAAATAGTCTTGATAAACCATTTCAACTAAATTTTAAACCTCATTTTTTACACTAGCTATGACCATGTTGATAACTAAGTCCTATTATTGATTTACCACTGCTATGTCTATAAAGCAACATTACTCTGATGAAACCATTATCTACAATGACATTCTATATTGGAGATCTCCACTACCCTGCGTTGAAGGCAACGCTACGACGGCAAATGAATTCCATACATGCATTATTAATAATGCAAAAGGCAGAGAAGGAGAAATTGAGGCTTCATCTGTATGTGGAAAGAAATGCGTTCAATGCAAAACGCTTAATTTAACTCCTACGGGACAACACAAATGTAATTTACAACATCCCATTGGTGATATAAAATGCCAGTGTAGTGGAACAAAAAAATGTTGCATTTTTAATTCTTGTTCAACGTCACTTGATCAAAATGTTTCTGAAAAAGAGAAGTCAGATCGAACAAACAAAAAGAAACAAAACAACGTGAACTCGGCGGTTACGTTGGAAAATTTTGACACACAGAACAGCATTAGAAAAAATCAATGCCAGAACGATAAAAAGGTAGAAGATATTACAAACTCTCGAACAGACTGTAGTGCTGTTGAAAGCGAAAGCAGTGTGAAAAAGCCAGAAGTGGATGAAGAACACTCTCTCAACAACAAGGAAAATCAATTTTCTGAAACTGGAATTAACGTATCATCAAAATCAGCGAACAATAATAATAATAATAACATTGTTGAAGCTTTGGATAAAAAATCAGATTCTCTTTCTGATGATAGCATTGATGATTTGGAGAATGACTTAAGTTTTCCTGGATCTGCGAGAAGTTTGAAGACGTTTGCTTTCACTTATACTCATTCTGATTTATTCAATTGTGCTGTCATAAAGAAGAGAAGATTGCTACCATTCGGGTATGATTATTTTTACTCTGATATTATGAGAAACTAAAAGTAATTTGTATCTGTATGATTGAAAGAATATTTGGATGGTATTCCATTTTGATTTGAATTAAATGTTATAATCGTTTAATTAACTGATTACTGTGTATCAGTGAGTTATAAAAAATTTTAAATTAAATATATTATAGTTATGGATTCATGCTAATGGTGATGGAATAAAACCTATGTGAAAATGGTATCTGCTATGTCTTTATTATGTTACATATTATTAAACAATTTACTATTAAAAATTGTCTAATAATATTTTATGTCATGAATTCATGGATTATTCATTTGATTATTTTGAAGTCTGTATTAACATTTTATTTGACTTGATAATTTCTGAAAATGTTCTTTAAATTTATCATTTTTCAAAACTAAGAAATGCCATGGGTATATCTGGCCTTTTTCAGAGTTATGGGGAACACTAGCAGCCATGGTCAACACAAAAAATCATCTAAGAGAGGTAATATTGAATTTGTGACATTAGAAAAGAAGTTTTTTCTTACAATTATAACAAATAATTTGTACTGTACTTTAATAAGCCTAGTCCTAGGATGTATATAATCGAATGTTTGAAATTGTCAAGTTTTATATTGAATATAGGTTTATCCGATTTTAAGAAAAATAAAGAATCCTTTTATTCGAAAATTTGTTTTTCTAAAAATTTCATTCACCTAAGAATAGTTTGATTCGAGTAGTGTGCATTACTAAATTCATGTATTCAATTTTATGAAAGGTTCGTGCAAATTTCTCTTGAGGTTCAACAGATTCAGAATATATTTAATATCACATATTTAATTAAAAATATTATTTTAGAATGTGTTCAGAATAGTAAATTATTTGGTCATGTAACATGACAACTACCTATGGTGTGTTTCCCTACCTTCATTTGGTTTCAAATCATCTTTACTTTTCATAACGTCAGGTTCAAAACATCAATCAAGAAAAAGTGTTTCCAGTCTTCATCAACAAGCAGCACAAGAAGATGAGTCTGATATGTTGTCATCTGTTAACAAAAGGAAAAGACAACATGATAATAGAAGTGTCGGCTCAAGGTTAGAAAATAATTTTTCTATGTATGGTATTGATAAATTGTGATATAAAAATAAAATAGAAAATTTTTTTTGCTTTTATTAGAGCTTTTGACCTATATCTTTTCATATGTCGTGGCAAAAAGAGCATCTATTTTATTAATAAGCTTGTGTTTGCCATTGGTCTGATCAGTCAAATAGGCTATAACTTCTGAACTTCCAATCACGATATCCTCATTAAGGAACAATTTGGTTTTTAAATTTATTTTCATAAATATTTAGTACTATTTTTATTATTTTTTCATCAGACTTTCTGGACAATATGACGATATCAGTGTTCTATCCTCACAAGGTATTCTCAGTATTTCTAGTAAAGCTGAGGACGAAGAAGAATTAGGTCAGTCTGAGTGTATTTGCCACATGGGTACTGTTTAGAAATGATTTAAATATGATCTGACGCTATTCATAATTTTTTGAGTTTTTATTTAGAAATAGGACATGATTTTTAAATATCTAATTTCATTCTTTTTGTATATTATATAATTGAAATTGCTTTCAGTCAGGATCAATACAAAATAAACTGTAGTCAATACTGGGCTAATGTAACATGAACACCTATCTCTTTTCAGAAATTTTCATTATTTCTAATGGCATATACTGATATCTTTTTTTTCTCACCAGTTTTCACTGTACACTTGGCTATACATGGCTTCACTACAGACATTTAAAAAAATTTTTTTTTTTTTTTTTTGGATATCGGAATATGGCATATAGTACATTGGTAACTGAAAAGTTTTATACTTTGGTTTCGCATAATTCTCAATTTATTGTTGGATTCGATTATTTTTTTTGTTTTTACGCATTGCTAAATCAGGTATTTTGTTATTCGCTGTTGGTTAAACTAGACATGTTTTTAAATAAAGACAACCTGTTATTTGTCATCTCTATACCAGGGATGTTTTAAGCAAATATCCAAATACATTCAAAATTGGTTCTATAGGGTCAATGATTGAGTTTTTCGAAATACTTAATTTTAAGAATCTGTTATTTTGAATATCTGATTATCTGGGGGACGGGGGTAAAGACAAAATAGACTTTTGTTCAGTTTATGATAATACTAGAACAGAGGGAGTAGTCTGTAGTCTGTGTACCATGTTAGGGTTGGGCCATGATTTGATTCCGATTTTCCTTATTTCAGATCTATTACGAGTTTGGGGACTGTCTGTGTTAGCCAAGTGAATATACCCTGTGTCAATAGGTTTTAGTCCCTTCACACAACTTGATGTAAAGTAGGCGAACAAAATTATTTACCTCATAGTGGTACACACACTTTTGGAGAGCCCGATATGCCATATTTGTAAACCATTTTCCAGAATGTATTTGCAATAATAAGGTATTGGTTTTAACCATTTTTGCTTCTTCTATTTATTATATTCTACCGCTAGGTCATCCTGAAAAGATGAAATCACCCAAATTAATGACGACACAACAATCAAAAACATCTAATGAGGAAACATGTGATACTTCAACCAGCAAATCAATACAGGATCTACTTCATTATCAACCTACATTAAAAACAGAGTTCGATTTTCGAAAACCTTTCGATGTTGAACCAAAGAAGTTAAAAGGTGAGATATATGGATTGCAGGCCTTGCACCAAAGTTCACCACTTTTATTCTCTACAGACAGGCATGAATAAAATGACAAGACCTTTGAAACATTCGATTTAGAAGTTCAGATTCTTGCTGTAATATCCTTGTAATTACCATTTATTAACCATAAAATTTTCTCTATTTCTCCATTTCAAGTCGATATGAAGAAAAACAATTTTTACAGTATATTTCTAGTCATGACTTGTAATCTAACCTTCTGAAGTTTGATTTATTTTTACTTTACATAGGTATATAGATGTCATAATGAAAAGATAGACTGTTCTATTTTTATATTGTACTCAAAATGCCCAAAACAACTCTTGTATAGTATGAAAACTCTAAATTTTTGAAACATAAGTTAGTTTAGAAGCAGTAATAATTTACAAGAGAAATCTACATCTTCTACAAAAGAAATAGTCCACAAATTAGGCGCAGGCTATGGATAAGGAGAATGCTCACCATATCATCATGCGATACTAGTTAGAGTTCTGGGAGGCTTGTTAAATTTTATTAATTACCACTTATTTTTTCTGATAACTTGACTATTCAGGTGATATGGATTCTCTAGTTTCTAATTTTGATTTGTTATTATTTTTTCATCAGATGTGACGCAGCCAAGAGACATTGAAATGGTCTCAGATTTAAAAACAAACGAAGATTCAACAATTCAAACATTACGGGGTGTTTGTTGCGCAATAACAAGCTTACAAGAAAAGTTGATATCGGAAACTAACGGTAAGACTAAATGTTACATGTAACTACTAACTATAACTCAAATTTTCACTGATTCCGAGCCAGATTTGCCAACTATGTTTGAACTTGAAGACTTTTAGAATACTCATGGGCGATTTGAAACGATATTTAATGAGCTTGCATGCAAATAATTTTAATAAATAAATTTGACTCATCCCAGATGAAACAATTGTATTCATCTTTAACTTAAATGGTAATCTGACTTGACTTGTCTTTAGTACACGGATGACCACTTTGGCTATGTAGGATTTTAAGTTTGTCATAATCTCGTTCTTGTCAAGGCTCTCTATAACACAGCTACTACTTGAAATGACATCTCTTTGAATTAAAGGGATTACCCATGTTGGTGTGGCTTCAATCTGCCTTAGGACTGGGTATTTTCAAATACCAGAGGCTGATGATTACAGTATTCAATTGAATATTATTTTCGAAATAAATCGAGGCTTGAATATATAATATAGATAATATGTAATCGAATGCCCTTGCACACATAGACTTATGAAAGCATAGAATTCATCACTCATACTGAGTTGTCACACGAAATAATGAACATGCTTCATCAATAACTCACTACGAAGAAAAGAGTAGGCTACTATTTCGGAATTGCATTTAAAAAATATAGCTCTAAGCCTCTAATAAAGAAAAGTTAAAGGCGCTGATTGGCTTCTGAGCAGATTTGAATAATTTACTATTAATTTGATTTGTTCAAAATGCCAGCCTTACTTAGTGGTATTACAGAGCTATACTGCTACTGTGCAACAATGTATACAGTTTTCAGTATTCTCACAGACTCGCATGTAACATTTTTCTTTTTAAATCATTCTAACTCTCATGCCGTTAATATTTACAATTTTTTCAGATTCAATCAAATCTCCTGATCATCTAACAACAAGAAAATACACTGGCAAGCGACATCCATCTGTCAGTCCATCATATCCTATATTATCAACAAGAACCCCAATGTCTCCTGCACAATCGCCTTTTAATTCACCTGGCACAAGAAGCCCTGCAGAACCCAGCAGTCCGAAACAATTTTTTCAGTAAGTTTTTTGGAATATTATTTTTTGTATTTATCTTAAGATTCTTGATTGTTTATCAAGGAGCGAACCCACCCTACATCTATGTGATCTAAATTTTGGCAGATGGCCCAGTAGTTTGAAGCAGGGATTCCCAAACTAGGGTCTGCGTACCCCTGGGCCATTGCATCTTTTTGGTTGAGCGTTGCCAACGATTATCCATTGTTTTCAGGAAAGACAATTAAAATTTCATGTGTTATTGCGTTGTAACGATGGAGGTCTGTCAAAACTAAGATTCATGAATGGGGTCTGCACTCCGTGGTCCAAAAAGTTTGGGAAATTCTGGTTTAGAATGTTGGATTAACTATGTTTCGATCACAAATTAGTCATTTTGTAGGTACTCCCGTAGTATGTGTACCAGGTTAGGGTTGGGCCATAATTTCATTCCAATTTTCCTTATTTTAATTCTACTATGAGTTCGGGGACTGTCTGTGTTAGCCAAGTGAATATACCTTCTTTCCATAGGCTTCTGTCCCCTAACACAACTTGATGTAAAGTAGGTGAACAAAATTAGTTAACTCCATATTGGTACACACACTTCTGGAGCGCCATTTTGTATTCTAATTTTGCCCAAGTGAGGTGCTTAGGGTGTGATTAATTAGGCAATGCAGACCCAGGAAAATTTCTTTTTTTATTGAGTAGTTTCCCTTTATGTCTCAGTGGCTGTTTTTACAAAGTCTTCTTCAGGTCGAAAGCATGGGAAAGCACCGTGCAAAAACTAATTGTGTTTCTATAACAGTAATACTCAACCTATCAACATTGAACAAGATGAAAATCTATTGCAAGAAACCTCAACCTTTAGCAAAGTGTTAACAAACCAAACAACTGTGAATGAAAACTGTGATGATCAACTTTTATTTAACGAGTGCAATCAACCTACCTTAACTTCAACTTTACACGAACTGATGAACTCTTCGCCAGATGGTTTTTCAGGTGAAATTTCCAAGTATTTTTGGTCTTGTTGTAGGGATGTGAAAAATCTTTATGTTTTTTTGCAAAAAACTGGAAACTTTAGCCATAACTATTTTAACATGGATCAGATGAAATTGGCTGTTATCTGTTTTGCCAGATTCCATTCAAAATGTATGTAAAATGTAAGTGTAAAATTATGACTAATATAATAAATATTTAAGAATATACTCACTTGGACAACAATTCCCTCGCTTTTCTGGAATTTGTGGTAATTTATAACTTCCATAAACTCTGCGAAAATTCCTTCGTTCTATAGTGCTTTTTCAACAAACCTTTCATAAATCCTCACTCTCGATACTAATAACTCTTAATATACTATAAGCCCCTTTTGTCAATAAAGATTTCCTTCTTCTTTGCAAGTTAGTTATTGATTAACAATATTTATTTACATCTACCAATCAAGCTTGTTACAAAGATATCGCATGTAAATATCATTGGCCCAATCACGTTCAAACTTGTGCATTGATTTACCATCTAACGCCCTTGTCCCGAAAGTCAAATAATCTTTTCCCATTTCCACTTTATTTCTTTCACTTTTTGATTCTCTTCTGAAGTGTTTTGTCAGTTGCTTTAGATCTATTGATGCGCAGTGGCGCGAATTTAAAGTATCTTTACTTAGAATAGGTCAAGCAGAAAAGGGTTATGGTTGAAATATCACGCGTGTTAAATTTAAGTTGGATTAACTTTGGCATGGGATAAATTAAGCATGATTAGCAGACTGAAATTCCCACCCAAAAAATCTCAGGTGTGCTAGTTATAAAATCACATACCAGAAGTATTGTTAATATTACCAGACTGTTGAAGCAGAAAATTTTTGAGGTATTCCAGTTTTAGATTTTTATTACATTAGTTTATTTTGATCTCTAAACTAGAAGCATAAGTAATCTGAGATATGTTTTGTCTTCTTCAAGTCACTGTGACGCAATAATATAATAGATCATTATCAATGAGGTTTACCACAGACCTGGCTTTAAGTCCAACTAGTTTATCAACAAGGTACTAGGATGTTGAGTATTGAACTGCAGGTCTTTTCTATTTCCTCAACTTTTGACTGTATAAGTTTAAAGCTCGCATAATTTCATAATTTGCAGCTTGTCTAAGTTCCTGTTCAGACCATAAGCAATCATTTTCTTTGTTTACTTTCTACTATTCTCAATTTTATCATAGAGGCTTGATTTTACAGTTTTTACTTCCTTACAGGTACGGTTATAAATTGTATTGTCTGAAGAAGTTAAGACTATTATATAACGAAAGCTCACAAATATACTTTCTATTCCTTGGAAAAAAAGATTGTTATTCTTGTAGTCTAACAACCGAAGTATACTAGAATCCACGACTGATTATTCATATTTTCATGTTCATTCAATTATTGAAAATGACAGGTTGTGTGTCATTATTTGCGTCTAATTAATAATTTCAATCCCTTATTTGTGACCGGATAATCTTGATGATTCATAACCTTTGCTCATTAGCTGTCGTTATGCGAACTACAAGTCAAATACAGACATGAATATATATATTCATTCTGACAGATTAGCTTATACACATAGCCTGAAGACAAATATTATTAATAGACTGTAATGTAGTAGCAAAAATATGGCATCATATCTTTTGTTAGAATAGTGTGTTTATTTGAAAGCCTCGTCTAGAAAGTTGCTTAGCATTTTTGGACAAAACCAAATAATTGTTATACAAGGTATACAGGTATATTTGGAGAATATTTCATTTAGTCAGTGAAGTTTAGAATTTGAAGCTAATCTTGGAATTTATTCTTAGTTTCAATGCTGTCTCATAAATTTTTTTCTATAGAATGTGCCAAACTTTTTCCAAATAATTAGAAGAATAAAAATCACATAAGATAATGGAGATATTGGGGTGTTCATTGAATTCATTTCGCATGTTATGATTTACTTTGCTAGTCTCGAACGATACCTGTATTTTTATAAATACTGTAGGTCCTATTCTTTGTTTCATGTTTCATTATTATGCTGCTAAATAGGAATATCTATACTGGAAGGATTCATGATTTGAAACGTCTATTTTTTTTTTTTTTGGTTGTATAAAATTAAAATTATATATTGGTCTGTCTTGAAGCAAAATAACAAAAAAATTTTTATTTCAAATCTTGATTTATTAATAACGCCAAAAAGTTTTTATTATATGCCTTTTCTGAAATGCGTTTTTGAATAAGAGTAGTAGTTTTTGAATTTCAATTCAACTCAATTTTGAGAAATTTCTTTTGTTACATTTTTGGATACATTAGGTCCAGGGGGGTTTATGGCGGGTCACAAGCACAACACGCTTTCCCTCCCATTTGAAATGTAAATAAAAGCATATTTCTGTATCGTAAGCAATTTTTCGTGGCTTGAAATGCTTTTCATACCTTCAAGATCCTTGAAAATGAAAACCCACATTTTACGGACCCGCTAGGTAACATGACAATTTGATATTTCAGAACCCTCCCCATTGAAAATTCCTGGCTTTCACTCCTTGGGCCATTGTTGGAGTTTGAAATCAGATTCAGGTGTAAACTTTCTCCAACTCTAGAAGCATCTGGGCCATTGTTTGCATAGATGCTTGAACAAGATAAAGGATAGTATGGTGCTATTTACCATATAAAAAGTACATAGTCCCTAGACCCTAGACCAGGGGTATGCTGCAGGCTACATTTTTTGTGTGGCCCGGCTAGATGTCTGAAGTGGGCCGGTTACAGACATTAAACATGGTTATTGCCACTGGGCCGGAGGCTCAAAACTCAATATGAAAAACTATGAATATACCAGTCTATTTACAAAAGTTAGTCCATCAGCTAGGCTAACATTTATGCAGTAAGAGGAAGCACAAAGTCACAATCGGGATCATTATGAAGTTATTTTTATTGATATTTTCAACGAAAATTTTTTATCTGTGAAAACTATAGTCTTAATTTTAGCAGACGCAAAGGGGCCAGATGAAACACTTCTGTGGGCCAGATCCGACCCGAGGGCCGTAATTTGCCAACCCCTGCTTTATACCGACTTGTAATAATATCTCATTGTCTTATCTTCAGGTTCTCTTTTAAACTCATGGCTTCTTGCTAACTCTACTGATGAGGAATCAAGCACATTTGTTGAAAAATTTTGTGATTCCCTTGTGCGAGTTGGAATATTATCACCAGTGTTGGATAGACTTTCCTATTATAAGATGGCAACAAACGAAAAAGACAATTCGTCCAGTCAAGGGAATACTCTGTTCAATCGATTAAAATTTATGGTGGGTTAATATTTTTCCATAATTTCCTGTTTTTATTTGTTATTTATATTGCATGTTTGTGACTAGAAATGCTCACTCAGACTCTGCGTATGCGGCCCCTGGGTAAATTAAATTTGAAACCCCTGATTTAGGCACTTGTAAATATGATTGAGAAATCGAAAGACATTAGCAATATTTGTTCTCATGTGAAAACACACTTTATTAGTAAAACACCGTCATTTGATTAGATGATCATTGATTCTTTGATAACTGCGTCTCAACTCTCAACTATAAATTGCTTACGTATTGTTAAGTTTTGCCAAAAGCTGTGTATGAAAGAGTATGAAGTCATAGAGTGAAGTCATTTTATGACCTATTTGATGATTTTTCAAATGATTGTTGGCTAACAGTCAGATGACATATTTTTATTAGTTCCATGTATTGGGTGTGGTGACCTGACTTGTGGTTGGCCTTTAACCACAGCTATATTGCTCCACAGCTCTGCCTTATCAATTTATAGATTTTTAGTCTATCTGTCCCATTGATTTGCAAAGGGAAGAAAAAATTTTAAACTGACAGATTATAGTGCTTTCAAGTCAACCTATATCACTACTTATATTGTGCCTTTATTAGAGAAGACATGATGCATAATTCTATATTATCAGCATGTTATAACCACATGAAACAAATTCTCTTTTTATCAGCCTACTCAAATTTATACCTGGGGAGCGTTGAGTCGATTGACATCCAACAACGCCAGTGCTGGTCCGAAGAAAACCCAGACATACAGAGATTTTGCAGTAAGACAAGTGGAAGTCAGTCCAACGACTGCTCCTGCTGTTGATAGCCAATTTAGAAAATCAAATGAAGAAAATTCTTCCGGTAATTATATTTTATGTTCATTATTAATAAGGGATATTTTCAAGTGCCATTTAAATAACACCAAATTTGAAAATATTGAAATTTTGCTTTAAGAAAATCTGAGATATATTTTTATTACCGGTATTTCATTATTGATTCTTTTATGACTCAATCCCGAGATATGTCAATTATTGATTCATTAAATTTCAAAATTTAAATCATTATGGATGTCAACAGAACTTGTTATTTCTATTATTGCGTAATGTGTAATTGCTGTTTGACTAAAATTCCAACAAAGCTCTTATGTTTTTCATATATAATTCTAATAATGGAAATAATAAATTTGGGTCGCGAGAAAAAAGTTTGGGAACGGCTGATGTGAATGAAGTACCTAACTAGTAGCCACAAGAAAACATGAGATTATAAGAAAAATATGCAATGATAACAAAACTAAATACAACAAATATTTGTTGCTAAAAAAATGAATATAATTTGAAATTGGGTTGTTTATTCATTACAACATGCAAAAATATTACAAATATATTAAAGCAGTCTAAATGTCATATTAAAATGCTTCTCACATTGCAGTCTGGATCTGTATTGGTTTATGTGTCACCCATCAGTCATGGCATTTCTAAATTTGACATTGACACTATTAGGCATTGATAATATATAGATAGTATTCGATAACTTATTTTTTTGTCATTTTCTACAGAAAAAGCTGGCCAATCAGAAGATATTTCAAATAAGACTGAGTCTTCAGAAAAATATCTCCATCCGATTGCAGCTCTAGACTTTACCAGTCCACAAGATCCAAACCAATCACCAACACAAAAACCTAGAAAACTATTTTTCACTCCAACTTTATGGTCTACTAGATCGCAGAATGGTGATGAATCCAAGAATATCGATACATCAGTGAACATTGATAGTTCAGCAGGTAGTCCTGCAAGTATGTCTTTTTATATTGTTCTACTTTGTTATTTCAATTTTTTACGCAATGCTCATGAACATCTCTCCACCGATTCTTCCTAAATAGAACATACTTTGGTAGACGCATAAGGATTGTATGGCGATGCCATAGCGGTTCAAGCGTAAAACATTAATATGTTGGCATCTCATGTTAAAAATCTCTTGTTCAAAACTCATGCCCACCACCAAATCTTACTTAATGAACGTGCAAAAACCATGAAAAAACTTGCTGAAACGCGGAAACCTTGCTAAAACGCGCATAAAAAATGAAAAACCATCAAAAACCTTGCTAAAACATGAAAAACGTCCCAAAACCTTACTAAAACAGTGGAAAACCAACATGTCCTTGCAAATATGTTCAGAATAAGTTAAAAATCTTGCTGAATCCTGCAAAAATTGTGAAAACCATCATAAATCCTGCAAAAACGTTCCAAAGAAGTTAAAAACCTTTCTAAAATGTGCAAAAATTGTGAAAACCACCATAAACCCTGCAAAAACGTTCCAAAGAAGTTAAAAACCTTTCTAAAATGTGCAAAAATTGTGAAAAACCACCAAAAACTTGATATAGCGTGGAACTGGTAGACGATGCCAAACTTAAAGATTTCAGCCCTTCCATTATTAAAAAAATGGTACAGTTCACCTAGCGCTAGCAGGACAATAAAATAGAGTGAAAGTTTAAAACATCATATGTATGACGTAATAAAAACTTCATCAAAATGAGTCTGAAATCATACAGATAAGAGTATTAGAAGTTTTATTCAGAATACCAGGGAATAGCCGCAGACATGGAATTTTTCAAATTTTTTCTGAATATTTAAATTTTAATTGTGGTAATGACAGGGATAATAATATATCATGTATGTTACTAAATAGTAGCAATCATGGTATGGATTCATTTCTAACTTTTGTGTAGGTTTCTTGCAGTTTAAAGCGCAATAATATATTCTCCACTGGTATTTAATAAATATAATCCAGCTTAATTTTATTCTTGAGATAATTAACGGAAGTAACCTCTGTATTTTAGATAAATATATTATTTGTTTATTTTTTAAATTTGCCGAAAAAATATTTACACCATTTCTTCAGGCTATCGTCGCAAATATTGCGACTTTTATCAAGTTTGGCCATGGATAACATCAATTTCATTATAATATTCATGTACAAATCATACCTGATTGTATATAACTCGTTACTTAAGATTGTGTATAATTGTATGAACTAATTGTGAGTTTTGAGACAAAATTATACGCCTCTCCTTGTTCGGGTTGAATTAACTTGCTCTATCTAGGATTCGGCATCTACAGTTCAGCATTATATACCTGACATGAAACAAAGGAGATTTAAATTGAGAAAGTTGAAGGATTTATATGTCTGAATAAAATCTAAATAGATAAATATGTAATAAAGCTTTATTAAGGGAATAAAAATTTGGGTTCTTAGCAAGGTTGAATACAATCTGATATACCTAATATTTACAACTATGGATTATATATTTTGTTTTAAATCTGGTCGTGTATAACAAATAAAATTTAAAAGTCTTTGTGGGTTCAGCAGCAAAATTCTAAAAAACGATTCGTTGCATTTTTCGTTGTTTTCAAAATTTGAACTAAACTTTTTTAGATGATGTACTGTTAAAATTCTGAAATGAAAAATATTTTCAATGAAGCTATTTTAAATTATTCTTTAATCCAAGAATTGCTATACCTTAGAAATAAATATTCAATCAATTTGAGCATGTATTCTGTGTAATACTAACTCTATTTACAATCTGAATTTAGTTTTGTTTGTGTAGATTAGAAGTTATTTGACTTTTCATTTGTTAATCTGAGATGCAATGATTCTAGGTTTTCTACAAATAAATGCTGATTTAATATTCAATTTATAATATTAGTTGAAAATACTAATGAAAAAAAGTCAGAAAATTGTTTTATTCTCTCCATTTTTTCTTATCAACAATATAATGTTCATGTCTTTTGTAGTAAATAAATTGTCTCGAATAAAAATGAATGGTATTGTTCAAAAAGGTGGCAACAGTGCAAATAAGAAGCTCACATCAGTTTGGCCTCCACCCAAACCACAGGAAGATGATGCTCATGGACTCAAATATACGGAAGCAGGTAACATATGTGATTGTGTCTTGATTTATATAGACATAGTTATATCGAACTGAATTAGTTACGAAGTTTTATAACAAAAATACTGTAAAATCTGTGCATCGCACATTATAAGTTTATAACTTTTCATTTTTGGCACTTATGATAATTTTATTCGAAAAGCGATACCAGTATGAGTACACATTTTGTATCTATTATTATTATTTTAACAATTTTTTGAAAAATTTGTTTCTGACAATTTTTTGAACATACACCGGTTTAATACACAATCCATCAGATGCCAAACGCCGGCCGTAAAAAATTTTGAATGAAAATTTGTCAAATTCTTCTCCAAATCCGTTTAATACTTCAATTTATTTTTATTATTCATTTGTCCAGATAATATCACTGGTGAGATCTTATACCATCATCTCTCATTTCGTTTTCAGTGTTGCCAGAATAATATCTTGCTAAGTATTATCTACAGATGTATTATACTTGCTTCATATATGATCAAAAATAATTTGACCGATATTATCTGGCAACATGATTTACCATTTGTAATGTGTCATCAGAAATTTCAAGTCTAATTTCTGAATCATTAAATAGTTATTTAATAATGCTTTTAAAGTAATATGTAAATATTGCTTTTATCTAATGTTTTATGAGTTTCTCTAATTGGTTTTTAAGTTAAATACCCAGATTTATCAAAATTGTTTTTTCATCATTTATATTGGGCATGAGCCTCTTGATGTTATGACTGATTCATTTAGTATGGAATTACTATATTATAGTAGCATAGCATTAGTTTATTATATAGCAAATTAATGGTTAGTAAGGATATTTGACATGAAGTGGACCTTTGCATTATTTTGCTGTTTTATTTTTATTGAGAGGAATTCTTTTTTATTCCAAATTGTTCGACTACCTCTGTATTTTTATCCGCTAATACCTGCAGGGAACCGTACCAGTACTAATGCGTGACCTTCATGTTTATATATTCAAGAAGTGCTCTCTTGTTATTGAATCATATTATGCAAGAAACTTCAAGATACGTGTCATCCATCATCGATAGTTTTGCATGAAGTGTTTTTCATATTTGTCAGTTATTTATAAATTTGTATAATTTGTAAATGAAATAAAATTTATAAATTTGATTTTGACGAAGCATTTACAATGTAATTCTTTGTCATTTTGCTAGTTTTCTGATGCAATTCAACTAGGGATTGTGGGTAACCGAATTGTCAATTAAAATTGTTGATTAGATATCATCATATATAATATTATTATAATATAGTTTATTTCACCAATTTCCCCTATTTATTCCCCTGCCCAGATGTAAACCTGTACTAGAGTTGTAGGCGATGATATTAAAGATTGCTTGTAGAGTGTTTGTTGGCATCGGATCTGTGTGGGGAGAACCCAAATCTGTGGGGTTACGATTTTGCGTTAACGATCCTAAAAATTTTATTTTGTTTTCAACAGAACATCAACAGATACTGATGGATTTGAAAAAAAACTACAGTGATGAGTTGTATAAAATAACAGTGAGTAGTTAATTTAATAATGTCGATTTACAGCTGTAACTTTTCACATGTGAAATGCATATTTTTTTGTTTCCTTTAGAAAGAATATGAGACAAATATTTATGAAATGAACGAGGAGTACACTCAAGAAGTGAGTATATTGAGTTGCAAACTTCGAACTGCGAACATCACATGTAATTTGACGGGAGGTGATAACCGCTTTGACATGTCCGCGAGTAATTCAATTAAAATAAACTCGGAATAGTTCGTCATTGTGATATTTTTTGAAAGTATTGTTTTTTAAACCAGATCGAGTCCATGCAACAGGATTCAAACATCTTGAAACAAGAAAATGCTGAATTGAAAGCCAAATTAAATGCAGATAAAAATGATGTATCGACGCAAACACAACATGTAGCTCAACTAAGGCTGACGAAGGTTTGTTTTATGATAAGTGAAATGAACAATATTATTAGTATTCAGCATTTAAAATTTACTTATTATAGTCCAATGGTTTCCAAACTTTTTGTTCGCGTGGCACCAAATTATCAGGGAAAAAACTCTCGGGCACAACACACTTACACTAAAAAAATTGCTGCTGCTTCCTCTAAATAGAACTCAATTTTGTGATCTTTAATGTGAATTTTATGCTTCTTAAAGTTTGTAAACATGTAGGCCTAAAGAGTAACGGCAATGTTGACTTGTCTTCCTCATATCTGCCTGACTTTCCTTTGAAATACTAAATAAGTTACTCATGTTTGCTAAACTCGGCCCAGCAGATGAATAAACTGCATATTACGAAATTGCAGAATGTAGTATCCACCTCTGTTGTTACGTAACAGATCTACAGGTGCAAAAACATAATTTGTATTTGAATTCAATTTTATTCTCAACCTTTTTCAGGGAATTCAAGTTGATATTGAAAAAGAGTCACTCCTGCCTCCTTCTCAGATAAGCCTTCCAAAGGAAAATGTTCCCCCTCCGCCGATTAGTGCACCCCCGCCGCCGCCACCACCCCCTCCCCCGCCTCCAGGAATTCCTCCCCCACCGCCCCCTCCTCCCGGAATTCCACCACCCCCTCCCCCACCCTTGAGCGGGGTACCACCACCGCCCCCTCTTCCATGCGGCCTTACAACCATCAAAGAAGATTGTAAGTTGGTTTTTAAAATTAAACTTCTTAATAAATTTTTTTTGTGGATTAGTGCCTGGAAAACCAAGCGAGATGACATTTTTTTTTGAAATTTAGATATAAACTATTTTTATTAGTAATAAAAAATAATAGCTGCCATTTCAATAACTCGTAACTCCCACTTTTGAATTGTGAGAAAAACAATTCTTTCGTATTATTCATGGCAATTTGTTGTGGCTTGAAACACTTTTTAGAAACTCAGACTCGGCCGGACCCGCTTTCTTTCACGATGTAACTTGGCAATTATAAATTTCAGCACCCCCCTCCCTCTTGAAATCCCTGGCTACACCGCTGTTTTAAGTCCCATCTTAATATCCCCATCTTATCACCCATTCTATCTAATTCAAAATTTTGTAACTATATGTTCTTAACATTTTCAGCACCTAAACGAGCTCCTGTTGAACCGAAGAAACCAATGAAACCACTGTACTGGAAAAGAATTCAAATTCCTAAGAAGGAACTGCCAAATAATAGGTAAATTAGGAATAGAGATGTAGCGTTAATGGTTTGATGATCATTAATTGTATGAATGATTTAGTCCTGCACGATTTAAATGCACGAGGATACGAGCAGAGGGACATTACCGATCCTTGACGTTATGGCCGGTGTTGGTTCTAATGTATGGTTATTTTCTGTTAGATCAAGTTGTATTGTTGTACCTGGTGCATACTGAATTGTATCAGTGAAAGCCTTTTATTTTGCATGAAAATACTGTGTGTTGCTTAGGGAATGCTTTGCAAGTTATTAAAGAACTTTAAAGATAGAGGTAGGAAACCACAAAAACATTTTGTTTTGCATTTTCGTAAATATCGAATAGGCCTATAAATATAATTTTAGATAACTATTTTGTATATAATTGCAGAAAATTTTCAGAATAGCATCAATTTGTTTTGATATTTTCCTGATCTTTAAAAATCTGAAGTTTTTCTCATTTTAATATATTGTACCAGACTACGTTCAACAAAGTTCTTTCTACTTCTCCCGTAAAAAATATTGTTGATTAAGATACTAAAATACCAGCAAGTTCTATATATAAACTGAATAAGATTTTGTTTGTTAACGGGATTGTTTGTCATATATTTTTTTTCAAGATTGCTTCGTGAAATTTTTTTTCTAACAAGCTATTATTTTGACCTGAAGGCATTGACATGTTTTAGGATTTGTCAATTGTGATATAGCGTCTGATATGTTCATTAATAGATTTATATCTATCTCTAGCACTTGCTTTGTTCATCACCTTCATCATTTTTGTTTTACCGTTAATATTCAACTTTTATTGGAGTGACTTTGCTTTAAAAAATTGCACTAACAGTATGAATTTCAGCACTAAAAATTGCTTGGACAGGTTAACTTTTGAACTTGCTTGAACTACTGAAGAATATATTATTTATATTTGCATTGCTGCTATCTGTGATTATTGTTTTATACTTTTCGAAATTCATCTCCCATTACCATCTAAAATCCATCCCCTTTTATTTTATAAGATCTGTTTGGGCAAAGATTGAAGACGCTGCAATAAACACAGATGAAATGGAATCAACATTCTGCAAAACAACAACTGTGAAAAAATCAAAAGCATTAAGTGATTTAATGACGGAAAAGAAAAAGAAGGTATGTTTACGATAGACAAATATTCAACACGGCAGTTATTAGTCATATGCTAAGGGTTAGGAATATACTTGCTACTGTATCACTGATTATGCTGTGTATGTTCGTATAAAGCACTTTTTCATCTCGACCCACTCGGCACGGCGGATTTTTTTTTGACTGTTTATATATCCCAAACAATTGATTTGTAAGCGCAGGGCGGCAGGGGCCCATCAAATATAAAGTAATATTTCATCTCCTGGATGGTCCCAGTTGAGGAACACTAGCTAATCCAATATGAATGAGAGTTTTTGTGTGGCATCTATGTTTCAAATGTTTTATTCATTTTATTTCTTATAAGGGAACTTAAGTGTTTTTCATATTCATTATTTTTAAAAATATGTTTTTAGATTAATCCAGCGAAAATTCTTGAAGGTAAACGTTCTCAAGCTGTTGGCATATTTTTATCAAGTTTACATGTTGAAATGACCGACTTACAAAATGGTAAGTAGAGCACTTTCTTTCATCGCTTTTTGCCACGTAAAAAGAATACTAGTGCCCGGGAATAAAAATGAATGGCTGATAGAATGTGAGTGACAGCCATTGAACCAACCAAACTACCATATTGTCACGATCACAAGCCGAATGATCTTACATTTACTATTTTTATATCAATTTCTATGATGTTTTTAAACTAATTTTATGGTGTATTAATAATGTTTCCTTATTTTTAGCCATATTGAATCTCGATATTACAACCGTAGATGAAGAAAGCATGATATCCATTTATAATTTGGTAAGTTTCAAAAAATAAAATGTTTTTGTTGAAAATGTAAACTTTGTCCAAAACTGATGTTCCAATATAAGGTAATTAGATGGCCAGATTTGTCTCATGTGTCTTCTTTTATGAAGGAATTCGTTTCAAACTGTTTGTTCAGATGAAAGCATTCCTATGTATGCGAAATAGGCCAGTGTTTTTCAAAGTACTATGATTCAAATACTCCGGACACTTTTGGCACTAGAAGGGCGAAGGCCCAGTTTGGGAAATTCTGGTCCATTCCATAATTTCGGTGACTTTAGGCGAAAAAAATTAAATCTAAGTCTACAAATAATTCCGAGTCTATTAAAGAAGATCATTTTGGAACAACAATCATTTTCAATGATATTCTCATGATTACCCCATGTGCTTGTCGATTTTCATTTTTGTCAACTATTTTTATGTTACTTTCTTATTCAAGAGAGCCAGCAGTGATGAATTGAAAAGTATTAAATCACATCTGGAAAGTGAGAAAAATAAAAAAGAAGAAGAAAAACAAGGATTAGATAAACCAGAAAAGTAAGTTTTCTTTAAAAATAGAAAATACGTATTTTATTTCTATGTTGTATTATATCATTTTTGCGTTATAAATCCTGGCCTTAACGCGCCTGAAGTTCGCTCAGTATGATATTATACATAGGATGGCAATATGTTCTTCCAAGGGTATAAAATCTGATTTGGCATGTTTTTTATTTCTATTACAGTTGGCATCAAAATTGCATTTTCGATCTCCTCAGAGTCACAATTTTTGACTTATTATGGTGATGATATTGAAGTCTAAATTTCTAACAAACTTGACGCTCATTAAAAATATGCATGCAATTTAAAAATAAACCTTCTTTTCGGTGAAGTTTTGGGTATGATAGTTTACATTTCTTGGAGGATTTTCCTCAAATTGTCATCTTCTCACAACTGATTCAATGAATTTTGACTTCATTTTCAGATTTTTATACAGTTTATATGGAATCGACAATTTTGAAGATCGAATGTTTTGCATTACATTTCGAACAAGTTTCAACGAAGATATACAAGGCGTACAGAAGGAATTAACGAACATAAAAACTGCATTGAATGTAAGTTGGCATGTATGGTTAGGTAAAGAATTGAGTTTGAACAAATATCAAAATTTGAACTGCAGTTAAATATGCTTGTTTTTTGTTATCGTAAAACTACAAACAGTCAATGGCAATAACAGTTTTAATAATTTTGATCGTATGTCATCATGTTCAAATATCAGTTGATTTCTGGTGTGGCTCTGTTCAATTAGTATAATGATAAACTATGATAAAGGATTTTTCATATATATCTCAAGAAAGAAAAAACTTTCGGATTCAGATTTTATGCTTGAATATGGAAAATGGAGCGTTGACAATCCCGCGAAGGCTATACACTATACAAAACTAAAGATTTTAATACAAAAATTGTTTTATGTTTTATTCACAGGAACTTCAAGATCCAAACACTGTACTTCGAATACTTGGTCTTGTTTTGAGTGTCGGAAATTATCTTAATGGAGGTTTGGAAATTTATCAATTTTTTTTAATGACAAATTTCCTTAAAAATGTGATTTATAAAAATAAGAACTTTTTTGAGAAAAATTTATTTTCTATTTCAATTTTGATATATTTGATTTCCTTTTTCTCTGTTTTCAAGGCAATCGAACCCGTGGACAAGCCGATGGATTCCAACTTGAGATTTTATCAAAATTAAAAGATGTGAAAGGTGTTAAAGATGGTACCAGTTTCAGTTTATTGAATTACATTGCATGGGCATACATAAGGACATATGACAAGGTATTTTGGGATTTTATTTAGTCACTAGACAGGTTTTTTTTCTAAAATTGATTATATTCGATATTTTAAATGTTTGAATCTAGAAAAATAATTGGGTATACTTTCAATTGACAAATAATCATTTGGATAAATTGAAGGCAATGTGTCTAAAAAGCCTTCTTTGGGTTGACAGAAATTTTGGTTTCAACTATGTCAATGAGAAAACTTATGTGTATGCTTTTTTAATTTTTACGAACAATGCTTAATTATGAGTTTTGACTTTCTGTTGGAAACTTTGACTTGGATTATCAATCTTCATCAGTTGTCTAAAAATTTTGTAGAGTTTTGACTTTACTCCGCCTTCCGGGGAGTTTGAAAATATATCAATAAAAACTCGTCGTACTAAAAACTTATTATTTTGCATAGGATGTTGAGGTCCTACAGAGAGAATGTCCTGTTCCAACATTCCAAAGTATAGTTCTTGCTTCGCAAGTTAATTTCAGTGATATTACCAAAGAGTTGAGAAGAATAAGAAAAGGTTTGAAAGGTAAGTATTTTATGTTTTGCAGAGTTACCTTCAAACAATAGTTCCTATCATATTTTATACATTATATTTTTTCATTGAATTGAATATTTTCACGAGTGTATATTTTGAGTTGTGTTGTGGGATGTTTGACGAACTGTCTATCATTTGTTTCACTTTAGTTGTTTGTGTCTATTCTTACAAGTATGCTTGAATAACAAGATATCGTGAATACTTCATATCAGATATCAGTAATAGAGTCAAATTTATGTAAAATTCTTGACAAAGCTAAAATATGCTTTTTACCAGAAGCTCAGTTAAATTTGTATTACGTGGAATGTGATTTTTGGCCTTCAGTGTTTAAGATTGTTGGAGTATATTTGATTAATAGGCTCCATAAGTAGGTGTACCAATATGGAGGTAACTAATTTTGTTTGCCTATTTTACATCAAGTTGTGTAAAGGGACGGAAGCCTATGGGCACGGATATTCACTTGGCTTACACAGGAAGTCCCTGAAGTCGTAATAGAACTAAAATAAGGAAAATCGGAATAAAATTATGGCCTTACCCTAAACTGGTTAGTACACACACTACGGGAGTACCAATCAATGTACCGACCTTAGATTGACATTTCTTTTCACTCTACAGATTGTGAGAAGCGTGTGTCTGATGTCATCAAAAAATCAAAGAAGCATTCTCAACCTTTTAAATCTATCATGGAAACTTTTCTTGAAAATGGTAAAATATCGTATTTTTAATTTTACATAAAAAATACTTTACGTACACACTGAAAAATTTGAGTCATCATGCAATGTTTGCCGCATGATTAATATAGTAATTGGTAGAATTCAAACTTCGTTCATATTTACCTTGCCCGCTGATAGGTAACAGGCTACTCTAGTTTGGGTCTTGGGAGGACAGAAATTTTTAAGATTTGGCATTTCTTGTCCAACCCTTGGGCGAGGGGGTGGGCTTGGGATTTAATAGTATGGCCCATGGGTAATTGGGTACAGATTTTGATTTTACGTTATTTTTTAAATTTTTATTTTGAACATTGTGAAAAATTTGTTGGACTATTCACAATCATATTAATGTCTTGGTTATTTTATCATTTAAAAATGTTTCTGCAACGCGCTCCACCTAGGACGCCATTCAAATAGCGATTTGGGGACATATATGAATTCGTTTTCCTAACTGTTATTATTTTGTTTCTCTAACAGCTTATACGAGTATTGAGAAAGATGAAGCTGAATATGATAAAGCACAGAAGAGGTATCTATGAACTATTTAAAATAATTTAAATTTAGATTTTACACATTAGATTTTACACCAATAAAGTACAACTTTTGTAGAATAAAATAAGATTGTAAATGTGCTCTAAATCAATAAAAAATTTGGGCAATCCGGAAGATTTTATCCGGAATAAATAATTGTCTACAAGTATTTTCAATGCAGATGCTAAAAACCATAGGTTCACGTCCTGATCAGTGATCAGTCTAGCAGTCAATATATTGTTATTAATCTGGTAGTGTGCAATAGCAGCACAATTTCAAATACAATAATAAAAGCTGTTTTATAGTCCATATTTGGGTGCATGTTCACTAAACAACGTAAGTACTTCTATTTAGCGTGGCACAATCATTATTACATATTTTATTCCCAACCCCCACTTGGCTATGCCATCCAACTTGCCAAAGTATAGCTACGATCGACCGAAATGGCATATTCGCCAACAATAACGAACTTACCAACGCCAGCGATCTCACTCATATCGGGATCGTTACGACTTGAAAACGAGAGAAATAGCTTGCCTCGATTTTAGGTGATCGTCTGTGTGTCTTAGATGACAGTTAGTATAGTTTGGAGGGCCTTATTACGTTACTGCGAGGCCGTCGTGACGTAGTTAGGTGGGGGTTAGGTGTAACATATGCAAAAAAGGTTGTGCCACGCCAAGTAGAAGTACTTACATCGTGTTGTGAATATGGCCCCATATTTGTGACCATGTAGAGCTTAGTGTACCAGCTGTTACATTGACTAAATTTGAATCTATTGCGTTGTTCTCAATACATTTATAACTCATTGACACTCCACCCCTCTTGAAAAAGAGTATTCAAAAATGAAAATTCTTGAGAACAGATGAGACAAGCAGCAACATTTGTTTAGAGGGAATGATTCTAATACCTATCAACTTGTATTGGGTGGCAACTGACTATGATGACCCCAAAGGGCATATCGTTGTCTTCCAACCATATCATACTGAAAGCGTTTTTATTTATAATTTATATTCGTCTGCTTATTTTGTGTTTTCTTGGTTTGGCACTTAAAATAAACTTTCTCTCTCTTCATGTCACAAACAGTTCCTAGAAGTATGTTTATGTCGCTTCATAATTTGTAATCTAATTATATGATGTTGGCAATCATTAGCAATAAATTAGGTACTGTTTATGGTGAACTGTAAATTTTTATCGAACTTGAAAAATTATTTTGCAGTTTTCGAGATGCTGTTGAATTCTTTTGCATCAAATCTAAGTCTTCTTCAAAAGCTGTTGAACCTAAAGATTTCTTTTCACTATGGCAAAGTTTTTGTCTCGATTTCCACGGAATTTGGAAAATTGAAATTAATAGATATTTGAAAGAAGAGTAAGTGAATGAATTTTTCTAACAGTCCTCGTTATCTATTAGTTTCACGTTCACTATTGATAACTAAAGTTGGATAGAAGTCCTATTGTGGGCGCTCCAGAAGTGTGTGTACCAAATATGGAGATAACTAATTTTGTTCGCCTATTTTCAACTAGCTCATGAGCAGGGGTATATTCACTTGGATAACACAGACAGTCCTCGATTTTGTAATTGAACTAAAAAAAGGAAAATCGGAATAAAATTATGGCCTAACTCTAATATGGTACACACACTACGGGAGTACCGGAATTTCAATAAATCTGTGGCAACTGGCAAGGTATACCAATTGAATAAAAATTGTCTAAATTTTTTATCATGCAATATATGTATTTTCAGAAAACAAAAATTTCGACAGAGTGCTGAAGATGTGTTGGCAAGACAAGCGACAACAGTTGTTGTTAAAGCAAGAAGAAGGCCTGGGAGTATTGTACGTTGATATAATAATAAACAAATACTTTGATACGATTGTATTTTATTTAATGTTAGTAAATCAGTAAATATCATACTTGAAAATGATCCATATTTCAAACGAGAATGTTATAGTACAGGTGTGGGTAATCTTTTTCAGTTCGCTCCTAAAAATCTGCTAAATTCAATAACCTTTTTTAAATAGAATCATAATCTTTCAGATTTGCTTAATTTTCACGGCTGCAGTCATAACTTTTTTGCCGTTTTATTCATTTAGAAATATTGGGTGAAATCTGATATATATGTTTATGTGGTTTATGCATCACTAATATGCAGCATTCCAAACTGCAACCTAAGTTCCATTATTTGACAATTCAACAGTATTTTATTTTTTCAGAAATCCCGTCCAACAATACAAAGATGATTTTACAACATGGATCACTTTTTATCAACTTATGTTGCTGCTCGCTTCATCTGTCTCAGGAATTTTATATTATATATTCTAAATGAATTGAAGAGAGTGGCAATGAGTGAGAAATTTTTAGAGCGAGATTTTGAGGGAAAACGCTATTCGATATTTGCCAAATTTGGTCTAGTGAGTTGGTAGCTAATGCAATAAGGGCTTTGCATAGCAATATTTATAAATAACTTAGTGCAATGGGAAAGCGTTTCACCAAATGATCATTTGGAATGGCTACATTTCTGAATAGCTTTCATTTGACTATAAATGAATATGATGTACTTTCAAAATTATTCATTGTAATGAAATTCAGAATTGTTTTGAAAAAACAGTTCTGCATGAAATTTTCGATTGGGTACTTAGCTGTTCAGTGGTTTACTGAAATAAAATGCTTGACACAATTTAGAAATTTCGTAATGGGAATAAACATGATCAATTAATCAGGCATTCCTTTACATTGGCAAACGTTTCAGTGAAACATACGTACGGTACTCCTGAAGTATGCGCACCAAGATGTCGCACAACCTGAACCCTCCCCTGGTACACAACCTGAGTTCAGGTTGTGCGCCATCTTGGTGCGCATACACATACTAGGTCCCATCGTGCTCTATATATTGTCGTCCAGCCTGTACTGCTCATAGAACTTTCATATACAAAAGAAGCATAAAATAAAAATATACAAATTCTGTTACATGCCGCGGAAAATCACCTACTACCTCTGTAGGAAAATTAATATTTCTATAAATTTTATTAGCTCTGTAATTTAGTATTTTATTCATTAAACAGTGGTATCACAATTCTGCCTCGCATACTAGTTCACACATTTTGAAACTTTAGATATACACATTTGTTATTCATTCCATATTTTACAATTCACATTTCGCTGGTGCTTTCACAAACACATAGTTTTACTGTTCTGTTTACCGGTGTGGAGGCAGTTATTTTATTTACAGTGCAAAATCATAGGCTAAATTTTAATGAGATGTGAACAAGGATGTATACAAATTGCCACTCACACATATGAAGCTACAGTGTTTGGTTTGTCATAGGCATAGCTTGTCTATGAATGAAGAATATAACCTGCACGATGCGGACATACTTGAGTCGAACATTTTAGCCCGTTAAGATTAGGCCAGTGGTTCTCAGCCGTTTTTTCTCTTGCGGCACACTTTTGTTGCACAAAACTTCTCCGACCCATTAACTTTATCATGCAAGGGGAAATATACGAGGAAAACAAAAATTCTATGCGCAAAAATGGAGACTTAATTTAAAGTTAAATGAGAATTACCACTGAAAAAAACGTCATCATTCGTTACTATAACACTAACAATCAAATTTAACTTTTTCTCAATATCTCTGTCCATTTCTAATAAGTTTATGGCCCACCTGAAAATGTTAGTGTGGGCCGTGGTCTACTGGTCGAGAGCCGATGAATTAATTGGGCCATCGCATTGAGAGTTATTGGAATTTTCACTGATTTAATGTTACTTAATTACACTAAGCTAAAAGAGATTATTACTGTGATACTTAGATTCATTTTATTTATTCTGTTTTCTCGCTGCTGAACAAGTTGCCGCATTATTCTCACTCTTGGCACAATCATAATTTATTTAGTAATTATTTTTTTATTCCATGTTGTCCTCTGAAATAAGATTATATTGAACAACAACATTTGTCACGGAGTATATTATATTTGATTCAGTCCAGTCAAGGATTTTGCACTGTGCAGCAAGACTCCTGCATTACTTGAATAGTCATATTTGCTCTTCGCAATATTTGGAAACCGATCCATCAGCGCAAAAGCAAAGATATGGATTAATATAATATGTTATTTATCCATTTTGTAAAAAAAAAATTAGAGACTTTATTAGTTCCTGATCACATAATATATTAGATCTAAATCATATTTCAGATCCACTCCCTTCATAGTTTGGCTAAAGGTGCTCATATGTTGCTCTCCCTATTCAATTTTGCAATTTTTTTTTTAGATTTTGTCTTGGTATGAAATTAAGATATTTGTTGGTATGCAATCTTAGAAGTCCTAAAAATATTTGTTTTGAGCGCCTTTTCTGTAGTGGAAACTTGTTTATTTTATAGCCGGAAAAAATAGTTGTTTTATTGGTGCAGGCTAAAAATGCAATGTTTGAAGCCAGTTTGTTTTGATTTAAAGTTATTATATTTTTGCACTCTTGTTTCGTGTGCTGAATAAAACGATAAAATATCAATATTACATTTTTCGTAGTTGTGTTTGAGTATAAGGAGGCATTCTAGGTCCTAGAACTACAAAACTACATGTAGGTTTTATATGGGATGTACGTGTCAGAAATCTGGTTTCGTTTGTGTTGGAACTTCTAAGTTTGCCCCTATTTATTAATTATATGGCAATTATACAATATCTTATATGGCGAAATAATGTGACGAAATCATGAATATTAATAAAACGAGATACTTTTATGATGATCGATCCTCGTTTTCTATCGCATCCCGCGTTGTTTATAAACGTATCTCTGCACTAAAGCTTGCGTGGGCCGGAACGTTTGGTTTAAAATTTCTGTGAGCCGAAGTGTCTGTAAGCCGTAATTGATATTGCATAGTCGAGGTGGATGTAAGGTAGACAACTTGTCCCAATCCCCTCTGTTACACAACCCTCCTTTGCAAGGTTTTCCTGATCACCCGAGAGTTGGTATATTTGTTATCGGATTCCGAATTTAACTCGAGGTGCGGTACGTCGCGCCATATGCGGAACAAATTAAAACTCCCTCATAGGCAAATTGTAATTGTTAGAATACATAACTATTTGAAAGTACTTGTAAGTAACCCAAAATATTACCTTATTTTCGTATAACTTGCAACCTTAGCTAATCATCTTGCGCGCGCCAAATAACAAGGCGGATCTTTCGTTTTAATTCTGTACAGTCAACAGGTTAGTCACGATTTTACGATTCTGATTTATTTGCGAAAAATTCAAGACACAATTTGCTTCCTATTCTTGGGTACGATTGGCGGTACTCCTGGAGTATGCGCACCAAGACGTCGCATATCCTGAACCCTAATCTGGAACACAACCTGAGTTCAGGTTGTGCGCCATCTTGGTGCGCATACTTCAGAAGGACCCGATTGGCAATTCAAGAAGTAGATGTTGAAAAAATAATACTGAGGAATGATACTGTTTTCATTTTCGGACAGTATTTCACTGTAACGAATTAGCTCACAGTATTGCAATTTCAGTACTGTACTTTGCAAATCAGACACATATCGATAGTCCTCAACTGGATCAGGTCGCTTTATGGAAGTCTGCATGATTGTGTTTGAATTCCAATAAAAAGGGAAAAGAGGAGTCACGTGATTTATATTCAGTCAGCGTTCATACGAACCAACAGGTGACAGGATCAGGTTTTGTAGATTTATGTTTGTTCCGCGATTTTTTTTGTATGCCAATAAAACTGTACGGCATAGCCTATATCTGTATATCATACCGGTAACGCAATACCGGTGGTATCGGCTGAGTGTGTTTGTAGACTCTGGCAGTAGAAAAGCACCACAATACCTTAGCAATACCGGTACCTGTATTTGAAGTAACAATACAATACAATACAATTTTATTTCGATCTTTCGTCTACAACACAAATAAAAAGAACACAGACAAGGTCAACTGAAAGATCGGGAAAACGGGCAAAACCTATATAAAGGTTTATAACGAACGCTGTAACCAGCGATTGTGCCCATTCACCCACATTCACACACGTGAAACACACCAAGACAATCATACTAGAATAAATTAATGAACAGAGTACATGATCACGAGAAAATAAATTTCCCGGGCAAAGCTTACTTGTAATGTTGTAAATAATTTTGATGAGTGACAAGTGAAAGTCGTGAAGAATACAAAAACATTTAGAAGTTATGTGATGGTGCCTGTGCCGAAATGCGAATACCAATTAATTGATTAGCTGCTGTTTTTTGTAAACAAACAAAACTAAAAAGTAAACAACAAACATAAAAACACGAAAACTAGTTTCGGGCGTTGCTTTGGTTCAAATTCGTAGAAATTGGAGTAAATGTTTTTATTCTTTGCAACGTCCAACATTCCGGACCTTCCATCTTATTGTGTTGAACATCGATTGTTCCTATAGGAATATATGAATTGTTTCTCTCGCATGAATTTACTGACCAATCCAGTGTCGGCAGCTAAGTCGATTATTTCTGTTTCCTCGAAGTCCCTTAGATTCAATCACTTGTTACAAGTGATCAACGCAATTCTTATCAAAGCAGCTCCACAGATAAAAGCTAACGTTACGGTACTGCAGTACTGAAAGGAATTTAATACTATAATCTCGAAATCAGTAGTCAAGTTTGCAAGTGTTTGATTGACGTAAGTCTGTAAGTAGCCTACTGAAGTAATACAGGTACCGTAATATGTTGTGCGATTCAGTATCCAGGTATCTGAGTAAGTTATATTTTTATATTTTACATGGTCAGATGGTATCTGTATGTAACTTCAGAACTTACTATGTCTGTGTGTCTGTGGGGTCCCATGTAGTTTCGTACCTAACATACTTCTAGTGAGCGTAGCATGACAATTTTTTCACGTATCAATCCTAACCCCCACCTGACTACACCATCCAAAAATGACGTCATTACGACGTCACAGCCACAGGGACGTAATAGAGCCCTTTAAACTATACGAACTGCCATCCAAGACGCGCAAACAATCACCCGAAATCGAACAGTTATTTCTCTCTTGTTTTCTCGTCGCAACGATTCCAATGGAAGAGAGATCGATAGCGTCAGTCAGTTCTTTATCGTCGGCGCCAATGCCATTTTGGTCGATCATGCGTATATTTAGCAAGCTCCATGACGTGATTGTGATGTCATCGTGATTTAATTTTTGGATGGCGTAGTCAGATGAGGGTTAGGATTGACATATCAAAAAATTGTTATGCTAAGCCCACCAGAAGTACGCTAGGTGCGAAACTACACGAGACCCGTCTGTATGTAACTTATACATCAGATACCGATACAGTATTACAGTATTATCAATCAATCAATTTTATTTCGGTCACTCTAATAGAAACAAAACAACAACAAACGGACAAACAAAATGCAGAGGACTTGGAGGACAGGCATAACTTTCAGTTCAGTATCGAGTTATTTTGTCGTCTTTGATTAGTTTAATTTAAAATCATTGTATCCGTTCCAATGCTTCCAACATTAAAATCGAATTTCCACGAACTGAATAACGACCACCATTCCAACAGGTGCAGTGGTCCAGTCTTTTCAGCGCTCTGTTCCATCATCCACAACTAGATTCATAAAAGGATCGAAAGCTTGCAAAGCACCCCTAACAGATCGTCCACTATTTAACTTTTAATCCAATCTTTTATCCATAAACTTCTTTAGTTCTGGTGGATGGGCTTTGATCATGCTGATATTACGCGATACAAATCCAACAGTACGGTAAATACCGAAACACACAGTGCCTGCACCCGACGATGGTCGGAACCAGTATGTTCAAAGGGGGTTACAGTACCGGTATTACTGTATTATATATTTTAGAATTTTAAGATACTATGATATCAGTTTATTCATCACTCTGTTAGGCCGTTTAATATATAGAATATTTATTCATACATTTCATTGTCATTTACGTAATTTTCCAGCAGATATTTAATGAGACACCCTAAACCTATTATCAGACGACATACACCCCAGCCACAGGTTTCACCCCCTCTGTCACTTCATTTTACCTGATTGAAAAGAAATGATTTTGATTAGAATAAAAATAATATAGTTTTATAAATAAGATCCCTTAATTTCAGCTGGCTTTTGTTTTCTAACCAGTTAGGGCCAGTTTCAACTGGTATTTGATAATAACATCGACAATGCATATTGCAGTAGAGGGATGCTGTCATGGAGAATTGGACAAAATTTATGAAACAATGCAGTACATGGAACGACGAGATAAGATCAAAATCGAACTTTTGCTATGTTGTGGAGATTTTCAATCTGTTCGTGATGAAGCAGATCTGACCTGCATGGCTTGTCCTGACAAATACAAATCAATGCAAACTTTCTGGCAATATTACAACGGCATTAAAAAAGCTCCTTATTTAACTATTTTCATTGGTGGTAATCATGAGGCATCTAATCATCTACAAGAATTGCCTTATGGAGGTTGGGTTGCACCAAATATATTCTTTATGGGTTATTCTAATGTTGTTACATACAAAGGTTTACGCATTGGTGGAATATCTGGCATTTTCAAATATCATGATTTCAACAAAGGTCATTTTGAAAAACCACCGTATGACAACACCACAAAAAGGAGCGTTTACCATATACGCAGTGTCGAAATTTTCCGTATGAAACTTTTGAATACTCCATTAGATATTATGATGTCTCATGACTGGCCAAATGGAGTAGTCGACTATGGAAACGTTTCTGAACTTCTCAGGCACAAACCATTCTTTGAAGAAGATATCCGACGCAATCGTCTTGGCAGCTCACCAGCAATGGAGCTTTTGCGGCACATGAAACCGACCCACTGGTTCTCTGGACATATGCATGTCAAATTTTCAGCTGTAATTCCGCACAATGGCCCTGGAAATAATAACAAAGTTACAAACTTTCTAGCTCTCGATAAATGTCTACCAAGACGTCAGTTTCTTCAAGTTATTGATATGAAAGTCCCTGAAAATTGTGAAAATCAAGGTTTGTGTTATGATCCTGAATGGTTAGCCATTTTAAAGTCGACAAATAACCTTGTTTCTGTATCAAGAAGGAATGTGTATATTCCGCAAAGTAGTGATGACAGCATGTTTGTGAAACACGTAGTCACATCTGAAAAAGTGGATAAAATGAAAAATATATTCAACAACGATTTTATCATTCCGAATAATTTCAAGCGTGACATTTCACCACTTTATGACCCTCGTCGTCATAACCGTCATAAACCTATTTTATGTAAAACGAGTCATCAAACAACGGAGTTCTGTGCTAAGCTTGAGATTAATGACCCTTTGATGATGGCAATAGCAGCAGAAGGTGGTGACCTCAGTCTCAGTTTTAACAGCAGTTCAGTACTATATGATGAAGATGAAGAAATGCCAAGTACAATTGTTAGCAGTACGTCAATCAACGAAGATGAAATTGACTTGGGTTCAGACGACGACGCTGACGGTGATGTGAATAAGAATGAAATTGAAACAACGAACAAAACAAATACTGAACTTTCAATTTCAATCGTTTCGGACAAAAAAAAAGTGAATAACGGAATAAAAATGGATGAAACTGAACCAGAAAGTCCTTTAGTTTTATCCTCTCTTTCAAGTGATGATGATAGTGGAAATAAAACGTCGTCTGGCTCTGAAACAAACAGAGGAGTAATGCGTCTATCGCTTAGTTTACCAGCTCCAGTTTTTGGCGCAACTTCGACTCCTGTGAGACAATCACATGGATCTAAAATTGATCACATTGAACCTGAGCTAAGTGATACGCCGATTGGAAATTTATCTCCTGCAAATATCTCTGTAGACTCTGATTCTTGTAATTCATTATCAAACGAAAAGCTAACACCAATATCTTTCCCGAAACCTCTAAAACCTGAAACATCACTTGCAAAAAATGCTTTGCTCATGTCATTAAAAGGAAAAAGACTGAGCGATGACATCGATTCAGATATGTCCGAGTCAAGTTCTGGAAATACTCCTTCAGGAACAAAGAAATTCAAACGTAGAAACGCCTCATTTTATTCATCTCAAAGTGAAGACAGTGGTGATAATACAACCTAATGCTTGGTAAGTATATTGTGTATTATTTATATATAACTATGCATCATTGCATATTTTCTTTTTTCTTTTTCCTGCTTGTCCACGGCTTTGTAAAGAATAATATTTCAGAGCCTGACGTGTATGATATCCCCTGACTTGTTTTACCTCTTATTGTTATCCAAAAATTGTGCTTTATTTATAAGTGAGCCAGTGTGACAATTTGAAGAAAATGATTTCAAATGTTGATATTGTTTCAGAATAATATTTTCCTGCCTTGTGTCCCCATCTTTGTTTTAATTCAGAAAGTTATAATGAAGGCCTATCACACAAATTGGAAGCTCATAAAACATTGTATTTATACATATATCAAATATACTTCAAATTACAATACAATTTTATAATAGGGAATCTTGGAGAAAATACGTTTTTTTTTAGTTTCACTACTTACTAATTATTCGCATCCACTTATATGTATGTAAAAGTTGTTGAAGAAACTAAAGAATGTTCTAGCATGTTTATTCATTGCATAGACAAATCATAAGCTTCTAAAAACCTTGTTTTAATTTTTGTTTTTAAACTTACCAATTGGTATAAAACATGTTTGATATGTTAAAAAGATCATAAGATCAAGTTTTTCATACTATTTTATACTATTTTAATCTCATCTTGTTTTTATTTAGATACATTTGGTACTGTAGTGTATGATATCAGTAATTATATTCTTAATTACGTAAGATATATAAACACTATTCAGTGCTATTCAGACTTTTTGAGATGTTGAGTCTTATCATGATATAAAAAGGAAAATGAAGTATCGAAAATATAACATAAAAATAACATTCAATTATGGTGAAATAGTAAAAAAAGGCTAAGTATTAATTTACCTGGAAGAAAAATTACCTGAACTTGTGATGCTATTAACTTTTGAGGAATAAAACCATGACCTTGGTGATAAATCGACTATAGGATTCTCACTGTCCCAAAGCTGGAATGTGTTATTATGAATTGTTGTCAATAAACATGGTTTGAAATGGATTTTTTGTATAATGATTTGTGTATCCTTGTTTATGATCTTCATTTGAAAATCAGCAATAACCTTTCGAAATAAATTTCAATCAACTTTTTTCCGTGATATCGAAAATATATGAATTTGTTTTAGAATTACCGGTAGTTTTGTTGTTTCTTTTAATGATAATTGCTGGTTTTTGTCTTGTTTTCGTCTTTTGTGAATTTTGATTTATTTTTCATTGTTAGTACTGTGTTTGTACCGAAAAATCTTCAGGTAATTCTGATGTAGTAACTATCATTTGAAATGAATTTTGTAATGGTTAATATTTTGTGCTTTCAACATTATTTTTAAATTGAAATTTCAACTTTGCAACTGTACATACCAACCCATTTTAGCTGCCAATTTTAATCACAGACAGAAATTAGGCTACTCTTATTATAGATTTTTTTTATCTTATTACCCAATTTGGCCATTGAGCCATGGATCCAACTGGTTTGGAACAAGATGGATTCAAGTTTGCAAAGTCTGCTGTCGAACTAGATGAAAAAGGACATTATATTGAAGCAATATTCTATTATAAGGTTTGTTGAGTATATCTCTTGTACCTTGTCACATATGACATGTGTTGATTCATTGGTCAACTAACATAGAACATTATCAACAATTTTTATTCGTCATTTGATAATGACAATTTTGCTTTTTAATTAAGGAGGCCATTGAAGCTCTAAGAAATGCTGCAATTGCCGGATCAAAAATAGACTGTGCTGCTAAAGCAGATGAATATTCGAAAAGAGTGGAAGAACTCGCTGAATTTTTAGCCCAAAAAACAGTAAGTTTGTTGTTTTCAAGTGTCATTATTAATAAAAGTTGCTACATTTTCGAGAGATTGTAGGTTTTATCATGTTGACTTCAATTAATTCTCTTTCTTTCATTTTTTAAGTCCATGCATCGAATCTGGTAGTTATACAAATGCAGCAAGAAAAAATGGCTGTCTATTCACGTACCCAAATGTATGTAATCATAGAAAGGGCTATCGGTGCAACATGACTATATGTCAGCTTATCATCTCTCCTCTTCTAAATAAATGTGAAATGAAAAGACATCTCCTGCATTAGTTTTTTCGCATGTGCATTCATCATATCTCGGACCAGAAGCCTATTGATTTTGGATGAATTATGTCGTATAGTTAGCGAGTTATTAATTAATTAGTGATGGGACACAAGGTGTCACTATGGAGTAAGAGCGCTGTTTTGGGGGATCCCCTAACTTTCGATCGATAAGTCTTCGGTCTCTGACCGATATTCTCGTTTTTATGTATTTGTGAATATTAATTCCCATCTAAAATGTAAGTAAGATAAGTAACTTCAAAATGATTGATTATTAATAATTTTGAAGAGATTTCCGTTTTATATTTTTCAGCAACAACAGTCTATAAAGCGGTCACCATCACATCACACATCACAAGATGAACAGAGAGGGAAATTTTTAATAAAACAAGCTTTGGAACAAGATGAAAAAGGAAATGAAAATGAAGCATTGGAATTATATTTGCAAGCTGCTGAACTATGCATCAAAGCTGTAAGTTTCTTTGATGTGATTATGCTAATATGTTTCCCGAGTAGACTTCGGTCTCTACTTTTCAGCGTATCCTACCATAACAGCCAGAAATAGGGATGAATATTTGATCTGAATTGGCATTCCAATATCCCGCCTGCCACCTACTGAAATGCCACAGCCACAGTACACCACTCTGCCTTAGGTGAGATGGTTGAAATTTTGAAAAAAAATTTTTTTTTTAAATAATCCCCCAAAAATGAGTGCCATACTGCCATTTAAACTGTTTGAAGCAATATTTACCAAAGTATTTCAGTATAGAATTTAAAAATCAAAAATATATGTTTTTCTCGGTTTTTTAAAACATTTACCGGTAACTTCTGATCGTAATAATAACATGAACCAGGGATGTCCAGAACAAATGAAATATTCGATTACATTTGAAATTGGTTATATTCGATTTAATAACTTATTGATTTTAAAAATAATTTACAAAATTTTGATTTGAAAATGTCTTCAAGCATTTATTATTTTACAATAGCCAAAAACTGAGTTAACATCTGACAAAATAAAATTGAAAATACTAATTAAAACAATGTTTATTTTAATTATTCAACATAACCAAATTTAATTGTCTTGTATAATTTCTCTTGTAGAATATATTCGATATTTCATATTCGAAAATATCAGCATATTTTAGAATGTATTCAGAATACTAAATTATTTGGTTTTAGCCATCCCTGACATGAACTGTCTTTAAGTCTGACATTAATCGATATTTAATACCACTCAATTCTACACTAAGATTCTTTCAATTTCAGTAGTTCCTGGAACCTTAGTGGTTGACAGTTAGTCAGTTACTTCGCTCAGAAATCAGCCCTTTTTGTTTTTGAATGAGTGCTTTAAACAAATTTTCCAAAAAAAATCGTGTTTTTGTTTTTCACAGAGAGATGTTCCTGGTACAACACCAGCATCTAGGAAGCAACTCGAAGGTCTTGCCAAACAAGCTTTAACAAGAGCTGAAGATATAAAAGGAATAAAGAAAATGGAAGATGAGTTTGATGAAAAAATTGCTGGATTACCAGATGTCGTTAACAATGATTTTCCTCCTATAAATTCATCGAAAACTGAAAACAAAAATGCTAAAGCAAAACCAAAGTCTCCTAATCCACCACGAAAACCTCTTGGTCCAGGTGAGCTACATTTCGAGAAGAAGTTTTAAATTATGCTCACTGAAGATTATACGCCTCGTGGGCTGTAAGGCCCATAACAATCTGTTTTTTTTATTCCCCAGCTTGAAATAAGATATACCGGCGGTAAATGACCAAATGTTTACATCATTACATCACATTATTGGACAAGAAGTGCTAAATTGTTGTTATCAGGAAGAAATCACTTTGGGCCAATCTATTTGAATATTTTCATAACTAATAAAGATGGAAGTCATCCGAAGACTTTTTCTTCAATTTTAAATTCCAATATATAAATAAAAATTTCGCCTTTTTTGTTTGATTCAAAGGGTAATAACTTTTTTCCTTCACGCTTGCTTTTTTCTTTCAATTGAACGGGGTACCTGTTTTGTCGCACTTCTGCTGCTTCGTGTTCATATTTTTAAGCATGGGATTCAAAGTTGAAATTTTATATTTCAATTCCAATGCCTTTAAATAAATTTTAACTATAATACAACAATAAAAATCAACTTGCAAATATTAGATTTAGTTCACAACCCATGTTTTTTATTCTTAAAGATTTTACTAAGAATGATGGTAAGAATACTAGTGCACCCATCCCATTTCGACCTACTGTCAATCAATCAAGACCATCAACAACCACTGCACAATCATCTGGAGGGGGATACACAAAAGAAGAAATTGCTGTAGGTTTGCTTTTACCTCCAGTTATGTTATAAAGCTATAAGGAATGTTGAAGATGCTTGAACGAAAATTTTATTGAATGAAAAGTGCGCAAATGTAGTGAAGTGATTGTTGTTATTGAGGTAAAAACTATTTTCTATGCAATTAACGGACCTGTTGATTTCAAGTTTTTAGTACTCAAAATGAAAGCATGAAAGAATTGGATGGAAGTTTTGGCTATTAATTCCATTTTTTTTTTTTGATTTTTTTTGTGAGTTCTATGTGGCATAAATTTAAATTCTGGGGAACACTTTTTATGATGTATCAGAACACTTCACGTCCTTCAACAATTTCAGCAAACCTGATTGCTCCAGCAATTTTGCCATTCCTTCCACGAAATCGTATGCTTTAGGTCAACTTTAATATTCTATTTGCAATCTGTGTTTTTTTAAAACGAGTTCTGATCTATTTATTGAATCACATTTCGCATAGTCAGTTTTTACACTCATTTAGGTTCTTCGATCGACGTCATTTATCAATAAGAGAGAGTATGTTCCATTTATGAGTGTTGACTTGAGAGAGAGATTTGCTTTTCCTGTGCCTTTTACGTGAGTATATTAGATTCAGTGGGGACCAGCAAGGGGGTTTTGAGGATTGGATCCCCTCCCCTTTTGAAAAAAAAGCATTTTTCTGTTCTATACCTAGCAAATTTTCACGGCTTGAATTGTTTTTTTTTGCAGCAATGGGTCATGCATATTGTCTTTCTAACATGACGCAACTGGAATTAGTAATAGCATTCCATGTGCAAAAATTATAATATAAGAAAGAATAAATCGAATGATTTCGTTTTGAAAAGAGCCGCTAGGTTCGTCTACTGATTTATATGCTCTTTGCCAATCAGCAATTTTGCACCTCATTTTTTCGGTTAATCTCCTCGTCATTCTGTAGGTTGATGAACAATGCGGACAATACCTTAATTTTACTACTTATCCATACTATGTTTTCTGAAGAAATGAACGCTCTATGATGAGTACCTAAAAGCCAAATCAAAATTAAAAGGGTATACTTACTTTTGAGACACCCTGTGTTTATTTACTTGCTAAAACTTTTTTTTATATCTATATACAGAGATAAATCTGGGCTTCTTGAATTGTCCGCAAAACAGAAAAAGCGATTAAAAGCTTGGATGAGGCCCAATGAGTTTGCAGAGGATCCACAAATGATAATGGCTGTATCGAGTTTTAGTATCAAACAAACTGTGGTATCAGATTGTTCTTTCGTTGCTTCTCTTGCAATCAGTGCTGCTTATGAACGAAGATTCAGGAAAAAACTTATCACAAGGTTTGTTTGAAGTAATTGTTCCAGTCTGCCATAGTTCGTTACCTTGAGAGATGTGCGGTCAAAGATTTTACCTTGTGTGTATATTTTACTCGATGTTAAATAATGTGGATCATCCAGTTGAACTTGTTTAGATGGCCTAGTGCAGCAGTTATCAAACTTTTTTACTGTGTGACGCCAAATTATCCGTAGAAACTCATGGCACATCTACACAAAAAAATGCTGTCTTCAAATACCACTCAATTTTGTGATCGTTAATGTGTACTTTATGCTATTTGAAGTTTGTAAACATGTGGGCCTCCAGAATAAAAGAAATATCAAGAAAACAACATAATTTCAAAACATTTACACCTATTTATCTAATGAGCGACTGCTATTATGTACACATATTTTCAAATATACAATCATATATTAATTATGTTTAAACACAATTCTGGTTTTTGAGGCATACTTAGCAAATTGACCCCCACATTACATTACAGGTTAAAATATACAGTTTGATTACATACCCCGCACTTTACCCATGGTGTATTAAATTGGTTAGGCAATGCTTAACCGGGAAGCTCCCTGTCCCTCCAAGAACAGTAGCTCGTCGAGTATCCTTAGATATTAGTGGCTGCTTATACAGGGCATTGTTCAGAGTGAATGACTTGAATAAGCATCGTATACAAAATGACAACTTGAAATCTCCTTCCAAGGGAATCAACCTGTTTATTCATTTGAATGGGATCCCATGTTGAACCGTTGCATGGTTTATATCAGCGGTTCCCAAAGGGATCTTGCTAAGTGCACCCCGAAAATTACTAGAATTGTGTTGAACATAACTAATATAGGATTGAAGGGCGCTGTTAGATTTTCTCTGATAATTTGGTGGCACACAAAAAGGTTTGGGAACCGTTGGTTTATATAGTTGTCATTGAACTATATTCTTTTTTAAGCTGGACCATAACGATGACACATTTTTGCAATTTTATTTTAACCGTGTACAGACAACACTCATGGACCCTCATTTCATTCTGTGGACTCCTGATCGGGAAACACAGATTTGAATAAAAAGGACAATTTTGATTTAAATTTAGTTTAGTTACTTTGAAATATTTGAACCGGATTTTATCTATCTTGTTGAGAGTGGTATACAAATAAGTTACTCTCTTTACATTTGTGTTCTATGATGAAAAGTTGTTGGCCTGAAAAAATGTCTTATTTACGCCTTGCTTCAATTATATTAAGACAAAACTGTCAGCTTTTTTCAATCAAAAATGAGCATGATAACAGTAATGATTTACTTGACAAAAAAATTATCTTTTCCTTTTTTTTGCAGTATTATTTATCCTCAGAATAAGAAAGGAGAACCAATGTACAATCCGTGTGGTAAGTTGTTTCATTTTTATTGTGTAGTATTTTGGTTATGTGAAATTCCAGAGAGACCGTAAATTAATTTGGCACAATATATTTTATTAATGGATGATATCAATATGCCGACTGAATGACAACAATCACACACAAGGTGTACTTACGTACAGTGATACCTCGGTAGTTGAACATAATTCGTTCAGGATTGGTGTTCGAGTACCGAAACTTTCTTTGCCATAAGAAACAATGGTAATTGTTTTAATTCTTCCTTACGCATTCCAAAATATTAACAAAAGGTGTACCTTAACAACAATAACTATTTAAATGTATACACAATAAAGATTAAACACCATAAATATAAAGATATAAAATATTTTGCATCAGGGACTGTACGTTTGATCAAATTTCTGCGGGTTCTTTGGGATTCATTTTTTGTATGCGATGATGTCATCAAAAATTGCGCACCTTGAGGCGGTTACGCCTTCGTGTTTGTCGTGAAGATTGCCATATCGGTAGTATACTGCGACAGATTGTATAGTGATTTCAAGCCAGCACCCCAGCCTTGGTTCGCGTAGGCTACTTCTGCACTCCTGTAGTCATTGGACCTCTTTGTCTATATATTTGAGCATTGCTATCCTATATTTCTCCAATTTATTCACAGGAAAATACATGGTGAAGTTAAATCTCAACGGAGTGCCAAGAAAAGTTATTATTGATGATTATCTACCTTGTGATAATCGCGGGGAATTATTATGTTCATATTCATCAAATAGAAATGAACTCTGGGTTGCACTCATCGAGAAAGCCTACTTGAAAGTAATGGGTGGATACGACTTCCCAGGATCTAATTCTGTAAGTTTATACCATGGATGCCCAAAAACTTAATAATGTACTAAAATATTATTTTAAATAATTAGAAAAAACTGTTATTATAAATTAGAAATAAAGTGGTTGGACAATGCTGAATCGGTCAGATTCCTGTCCTGCGACAAATAGTATTTTCTTACATATCATAAGATATCAATGTCTTCTTTTACATATCCTATATATAAAAATTTCCTCATTTGTTCAACAATATTCAATGGGTTTTAATTTCGAAATGCAGGAAAGTCAAGATAAACAATGACTTGATTAGTTTTCTATTTTTTTAAAGTTATGAGAAATTGAAAATTGAAGGCATTTTTGAATATAATGAGAGAATTCAAATGCTCAAAAATATAATTTTTGGAATAAACTATTCTGAATTGGGTCTGAAATCAAGAATTTGAAAAAATCCAACGGTTTTGAAACGTTTCCAATTTTGTTGTTTTATCACAGTTACATTGACAGATTTAAATTTGTCTTCAATAATAATTAACAAAACTGACTGTTTGCGTTCAAACTGATTTTAAAACAATTATCACATGTTAATGTGTAAATAATAACAGTTCACCGAATACCGCAAATTTATTTTCAGAACAAAACTGTTTAACATTTTGTTCTGTATCGACGTTCTGCATTGTTCATATTTTATAAGCGATCAATCATAAGCTATATATATAAATATATTTTTATACGACACCTTCTCGTGCCTTTCGGCCCTAATAAGGCCATGAACAGTCAGTCCGTGATATCAAATGATATGTGAATATGGCTCCTGGTATATCTGAACCAATTGTCATCATAGATTGTGGACAAAGGTACTCTTAGCAAGAGTACAATTTTCAATTATTATTAACTTTTGTTCATTTTCAAGAACATCGATCTGCATGCATTAACTGGATGGATTCCAGAGCGACAATCATTGAGAGAAGACACTTTTAATAAAGATCATTTCTTCGACAAAATATTTGACAGATTTCATAAAGGACATTGTTTGGCAACAATCTCCACTGGACCTATGACACCTGAAGAAGAAGATAGAACAGGTCTGAAAGTATTCAATGTTACCTCATAATGGCCACGTTTCTTCTCCTTTATCATCTTTCGAACAGATATGTAATTTTTATATGGCACTTGTTCGAGCCTTTCTCTCAGAACAGGCCTTGTGCGAGCAAACACTGATATCTTACAAAAATTCAGGAGCTATCATCTGTGGCCCGTTCCAAAAATTCTCAACAATTGCTACCTCCCATTTTTGGAGAAAAATTCCGACCTTGAGGCCATTGCTGAAGCCACTTCGGGAACCTCTGGGAACAGTTCGATAAACCACGTTCTAGAATGTATTCAACATATAAAATTATTTTGTTAGGGCCATCCTTGGGTCAGTGTATAATTGATCTGTCTCATAGAATTTCTCTTCTATCAAAAATTCTATCTCATCATACCCAGTGTTACATGTTCACTGACAATAAATGAAATGTTCATTTCAGGTTTGGTTCCCACTCATGCATATGCTGTCCTTGATATCAGGAAAGTTCAAGGTCTTCAAATGCTTCAACTTAAGAATCCATGGAGTCATCTGAGGTGGAAAGGAAGATATGGAGCAGAGGTGAGTAACATGACTTGACAATCATCAAAAAAAATGTCATAGGATGGTTATTTGTTACTTTAGCCTTGAATGAGGCCTTGTGTAAGCATGCAATGCAAGGTAAAAAGTTACTGTTTTTAGAAGAATTAAATCTTTTTGGTTTGACATTGCCTACCCAATTTATTATGTTGTAGGCATGGGATTTGCACCCGATATTTGTAACTTGTGATATGAATGAATAAAAAATCTCTGGTTTTCGTCTTGATCTTTCATTGAAAATATCGGCATGTTGTGCTGGAAAGTGTTAGGAACTGCTTGCAAACGCACTTCTGATTACCCTGCTCAAATTCATGAGTTTGAATGTTGTAGGGGAGCTCACAGTCTTGGCATGGATAGGGTAATCTTTGCTCAGTTACCACTCTTCAATTATTAAGTTCTTGCTCAAATGACTGCTTAATTGATTGGTAACTACACAAGAGGCAATGATTAAGCCACCTTATAGGCTTTCCTTTTCCCTGATATGAATATAAAATATCATGTCGTATCCTGTTGCTGTCAGCGATATTTAAAATAAACCGAACGATGGACTGCTTCCTAATGTTTTCATTATGATTAATGAATGTTGTTTTCTTGTTCAGGATGAGGAGAGATGGACTCCTAAGCTTAGAAAAGCTTTGAATTATGACAACAAACTAGCTCAGCAATATGATAACGGTACGGATATCTTAATCATGTAGAAATAAAATTACAACAAAAAGGTGAATTAGTAACAAAGCGCAAAATTGTATGACTATAATGAATTTCACTGTGGAAATTTCCTAAATACTGGAGACAGCAAATTTTAAATTGTAAGCGACTTGGAATTATTTGAATAAACTGAACAAATTTATCGATTATTTAATTGTAATAAATTAACAATTAGTATGAAAATGATTTCTAAGACTTGGTCAGAGTGAAATTGCCTCACAAAAAAATTATCATTATCTGTTTTTTTTTGTTTATGCTCTAGTGCTATTAGTAATTGTTAATTATAATCACTGCAGTGTCAACAAATTAGACTTTGATTAATACTTAGGCGTGGTGTTTAATAGGTTAGACCAGTGATTCCCAATCTTCTTTGTTAAATTCCATTTTTTGCTTTTTGTGGAACACTTTAATTCTCTCTCCCTATGCATAAAACTACTTTATTTGTTCAATTGTTAATGGATCCTCTGCTAGACTCATGCGCAAGTCGCACCTCTATTTTTGTACATTTTAAGTAGGTACTTTATTATGTGTTTTTGAATGAACATATTAACGAGCATATCGGTTGGAAACCGAAGACTTATCGATTGATAGTTAAGGGATCCCCCAAAACAGAAACTGCAGTTTCGATTCATCCGCTCTTGTAACTTGCGCACTGCGCATCGCACACACACACACTCGGCGGGTCTCAAAATTCTCTCGCTTTACAAAAATCTAGATCACTATATCAATAATTGATTGATAACTCGCTAATTATACGACATAATTTGCCCAAAATCAATAGGCTTCTGGTCCGAGATAAGATGAATGCACGTGCAAAATCTGGATCAGATTCAATCTCGCTTTCGTGAGATATCGCGTGCATCTAACAGACATACAGACAAATACCTATCAACATACTTACCGATTAAAATCGATAAGTAATAATGAAGGACTGAAGAATATTAGTAATACTACAGTAAATACAATGCAAAAATTGCTCTATGAAATGAAACCGACAGTTGCAGTGTATTATGAACCTGTTGACGGTAAAAAATGTCTGAAAATCTATTTCAGGAGTTTTCTGGATTGATTACGATTCTGCTCTTCATTTTTACGACACATTTTACGTAAGTTGGAATCCGGATTTGTTTCCCAAAACTACATGCTGCCATTATTCATGGATGGCTCACGATGGCCCAGAAAAAGATTCCTATTCTCTCGGGGACAATCCACAATTTAGTTTGGAAGTCAGGTATACCTATTATACATGTTTGGTTAGTTTACAAAAATTCAAACATTTTTTATATGATTAGCGTAAAGGATGTTGTCAAATATAACTTTTTTGTTAAATAGCACTTTCTTACAAAAGCCTGTGGAAATTCAAAGTTCCATCACTCTTATATTTCCAGCAGTTACAAATCGAAATGTCTCTAAACTTTGCAAATTTGAAAAATTTTCTGCTTATAAATATCGACCAGCTCTTCTGCATTGAATGGTGTCATTTCACCAAAACCAATTGATTTTGAAGATATTTTAATTTGGGTTATGTGCAACAAATAAATATATAGGAAGTGAATTTGGTGTCAAATAAGTTAGATTTACTTTGTATTGCTTTTCTATTTTTACACTGTTATCAGAGATTTAAGTGAGGTTCATTTTCAAATATGTAATGCTAAAATGGAAAATTTTCAAATATCGCTACCAGATTTTCTAAATTAATAAATAAGAACTAAGCTTAATTATAACTTCTTGTCTGGTTACCAGTCCATGTCTCCTATAGAAATAGATAGCCATTGTTCGTTCTAGCACCTGGACTCGATGCCGGTGGAAGCCACAACTGAGCGGCGGTTACGTGAATATCCTACAACAGCGAGTAGTCCAGGGATCCTTTAAGACAAAATTCTCCCCACTGGAATCTAACCTAGTGGACGTAGTGGTACCTAATTACCTAGTGTCTATATATTCGTGATTCTTTGTCGTAATTAAATTATGGAATCATATAGAATAAATTTTGTTACATTCATTAATACGCTAAGTTGCATTCTTTCTTTTTATTCTTAACAGAAATCCTCAACAATCTGCAGTATGGGTTCTTCTGACTCGTCACATCACTGATAAAGATGATTTTGCACAAAACCAAGAGTTCATAACGATGCTTGTTTATAAAAATGAAGGGAAAAGGGTTTACTACCCACGTAAGTTGAACCACCAAAAATTTATGAAATGGGTGACTGAACCAGGGCTTTGGAGATTAGCATGTTTTCGCTGAAGTCAAAGCCAGGGTCATATTTCCAAATTTACCAAAATCGATGTTGAAATTATGAATTCCCCAGAATTTGAATTGCAGACTTTCAAAGGTGATAAAATAAGTCAAAACATCCTACTAAATATCAAAAAAACATTATTTTTAATATGCATCTATTGAGAAAGGCTTGCATATGCCAAACATTTTGATATCAAAAATTGATTTTTTCGAAGTTTGTAGTTGGAGTTACTGTTGAAAATTATTACAACCCAGAGTCGGAATCCAAATTTTTTCAATCCCAGAGTGGATTGTAAATATTCTACGACCTCACAGCCCTGGACTGAACTATCAAGCCTTAGGAACACTATCACTACAATTATTATCCCTGGTAGATGTCGCCAGTTTAAACCAGTGGAGTTCTCCAAGAAGCACATCACGTAGGGGGTTTGCAAAGTGGTTGAATATAGCAATACTGAGTCTGACTAGTAACTATGCAAGAGACCTATTTTTAGAATAATACCAGAATTCTTCCGGTTTTGCATCGCCTATCCAATTTATTGAATACAAGTCTAACGCTTTAACCACCAGTAGTCAGGGGTTCTCAAACTTTTAGTGCAATTGAACCGGTGATGAGGTTGACTACTATTTACGGAACTCCACAATGAATTTATAAAAACAAAAACACATTGCTATTTACCGATTAACGCTCCTGAGAAACTTAGAATTACTATTTAATGGGTGTATTTGTTGCTTGTCAAATTTTCTTAATGCCGTTATTGGTGCTTTGGACAGTTACAAAATTAGCCAAATCAGTATTTTAATAAGTGAATGAATAGCTCGTGGAGCCCCTAAGTTTCCCCCACAGTGCCCTGTGGCTCCGTGTAGAGCACTTAGAGAACCTATGAGCTATATATACCTTCCACTGTTTAATTTTATATTGACAGATTCGCCTTCGCCTTACATTGATGGTGTTCGAATCAACAGTCCACATTATCTGACTCGAATTCAGGTTCCTGCTGCTAAAACCAGTCCAAACCGGTTTACTCTGGTTGTATCCCAATATGAAAAACACAAAAATATCCAATACACGATAAGAGTTTACGCCACAGCTGAATTTGCTTTGAAAAAAATTTTGGACCCGTACAAGTTTAAAAAGAGGGTGAGATATATCAACTAATTTTGACCCCCAAAACCTAAAAATTTAGATTCAAACTTCGGTTTGGAAAATAATTTTTTCTGTGAAAACTCCCAATGTTTAAAAGCATTTTGTAATTTCAGTTGTAGTTTTGACTTCTTTCGGAAAATTGAAATATGATCTAATATCAGCTGAAAAAACTTAGAATAAATAATAAAATGAAAAAAAGGGAGACGCTTAAGTGTTCATACTGAAGTTTGTGGACCATCATATAGCTATAAATCTTAAATATTGAAAACACTTTTATCGAAGTTTTTCGTTAAATTTGTGTGGTCTACATAGACTGCCATATTAATACTCTTTTTGTGTTATAATCAAAGGCCGATGAAAACCTTATTAATGTGCATATTTGCAGCTGTTGTACTCTTACTCTTAGTTAACAATTCTTCTGCCATGACAGCTGTTTTTGAAAAAATGAGGAAAATGTATATTTTTTACTTTCAAATTCCTGTAACTATTCATTGAAATACTTTATCGAACATTACTTCAAATTGTGTTTAGATAACAACTTGAATTTTTTTAAAAAAAAATTGTCATCATTCAGCCGTTTGTCTTTATATTCAATGTTTGCAATTTGAATCATATTATTTACTTATTTAGCTTCTCTGTTGTATTTCATAAAAAAATGGGCGCTCCAAAAGTATGTGTACCAGTATGGAGGTAACTAATTTTGTTCGCCTACTTTACATCAAGTTGTGTAAAGTGACGGAAGCCTATGGACAAGGGGTATATTTACTTAGCTAGCACAGACAGTCCCCGAACTCGTAATAGAATTAAAATAAAGAAAATCGGAATTAAATTATGGTCTAACCCTAACCTGGTACACATATTACGGGAGTTAAAAAAAATGTATAGAGGCATGAAAATTTTTTTTTTAACCCTTTCTCATCAACAGATCTCTGGTAACTGGACTAAAGAAAATGCTGGTGGATGTGCCAATCATCGTGATACTTATAATAGGAATCCCATTTATCAAATTAATCTCAATTCTCAACAACAAGGAAACATTAAATTATTGATCGAGCTCCGAGGCCCGAAGGTATTCAGTGTCGGATTTGATGTTTCTTGTGTTGACACAAAAAACGGAGACAAACCGTTTAAACAAGAAATGAGTGGAAATTTCAGGTATCTTGCGTGAAAATGTTTTTTTATAATTTTTGAAAAAATATTGATTGTGGAATGTTGAAAGTGGATATGTTTAAGGATTTGTTTTGAAATGTGACAATTTATTCTTTTCTACCTTTTGGTGTGTATCCATTAATAATGCTTCTTATTAATTCTAAGTAGATTTATGTAATGCAGGTTGATACATTATACATCAGAAAAAATAATATCATTTGGGATGTCAAAACCTGTTGCATTTGATTTGCTACATTTTTCTCAACTATCAATCATATAAACACAATTTATTATCTGAATAACGTAATTACTGGGACTTACGAGATCTGTCCCTTTTAAGTACATTTCAAATAATTCCAAGCAAAGAGTTGGTAGAAATATGCACCTGACTTCAAACTACTGAGACGCAAGTTTGACAAAGACGTCGACTCAACTACAAAATGAGTAAAATTTATACTCTGACTTGAGGTCCAAACAAACTGATTGATGATATCAAAAAATTTTCATATACCTGCTTTCATTGTCTATAATCATAATGTCCTTCAAGTTTTTCTGAGAAATTTGACTTCGATTATGACCGATAAAACTCTAAAATTCAGACTGCAGAAAATTTAAAATTTGGACTCCCAATGAGTTTGAAATGGCAATTCTTGATCCCAATGTTAATAGAATCATCGTAAAGTATGACTCCACTGTCGTGGTTAGCAGATGGCAGACGCTCAACCATGGGTTCGTCATTTTAAAATACATTTTTACCTGAGACAAACAAACATTCAAAACCATATTTTATTTTACAGGTCTGGATACTCAATGCTAGAACTGGATGTACCACCGGGAATTTATAACATAATACCATGTACTTTTATGCAAAATAAAATAAGTCCTTTTTTTCTTGATATTTCAACTTCCTGTGAAGGCACTAAAATTGTCAAAGTCAAGTGAATTTTATTGTTTTGCTTCTGTTTTAATTGTTTTTTTTTCGCTTTTGTAATATTTAGCACACAGATGCTGATGAAAAGTCATTATTACAGTTTGAATGTCGCCAGTTACAGAGTAGAAATATGCAATACAATAATTTTCTAGATGAAAAATCGCGTATATATATCACCAATAACTAACAAGCTTATTTCTTTTCTGGCCGTGCATAGTGATAAGTATCTACCAATTGAGCGGAGAAGCATGGAACAAGCTAAGAATCCAAAATGCCTATATATATATGTATCAAAAATTTGATTCTGAATCAAACACCAAGAAAACCAATTTTGATAACCAAAAATTGGGGTGTACAAACTTCCTTTTGATATTCCATTGAAATTTTCTTAGTTGACTTCCAAGCCTCGACACCAAAATCAATAAAAACATTTTAAACTTCTGCTTGAGGTTTTGAATGGTTGTAGTTGCATGATGCATACAGTAATGTGTAGTTATAACTTTGGTATTAGGCAGAAGCCTGTGGTCACATATCACACATCTTCAAGGAGGAAGCGGTAGAGTAAATAAAAAGTTTTGTTGTGCATGATTAAAAATTTAGCTGAAAAGGGGAAAGAAGAGATTGTCTTACCATCAAAAATATCAAAGCCTTATTCTGCCCAAGTCTAAAAATAATGGAGTATTTAATGTGGACAAACTGCTATTTAGTTGCACTTATAATGCTTCGTTTCACACTAAGAGTGATAATCTGCTGTATTTGAAGTAATTAATAAATATATATATTTTGCTGCCTTTTTTGAAAATTTTATCTTCCCGGAGAGACCTGCGCTTGGAAAAGAAAAGAAGCGACAGCGGAGTGTAAGCTAGGAATGTTATGGCCTCAAATTTTGTATGATGGCGTTTAGAGAAGTTGACTCCAACGACAGGACGTGACCTCAGGATTTAGGAGTAGTGCAGTGATTTCCCTACACCCCCCTCAAATTTCAAACACCCCCCCTAATTTTGGGGTGCGATTCCACACTGAGGGGTTCTAAACCGCAGTCTGCGGGCAAATTACGGCCCGCGTGACGATTCAAAATTGCCCGCCGAACTTGAGTGAAATAGTTTAATCCTTCATGTGGTACCTTTTGTGTTTTAGATACCGTCTATTGTTACATCATTATCACAGTTTGAGCACGTTTATTTCGTAACAATTGAATTATTCCGGTATCTTATGTATACGTATGGGTATTAGGATAACACACTGCGGTATTTTAGATATCAGCCGTATATTAAGAAAGCTTAAAGATGTCACAAGACGAAAACTAGGCACTGAAAACAGACGTTTTTTAGATGAATGACAGCGTTTTTATTTCTTTATTGAAAAGAATCAAACTTCAGCGATTTGTCTTCTTACCAACAAAATATTTCAGTTCTGAAGGAATACAACATTATGCGACGTTATGATCAGTTGACGAGCGTATTTAAAATTTAATTCATACAAAAGTCAAACAAACCTGTTCAAAAAAATTAGAAATGTGTAACAAAACAAGCCATAAGTAGCCATTCATACAATGCCAGATGAGAAAGTAACTTCATTAGTCACTATCAGTTGCAAATTACTTGTTGAAACGTAGTAGTATATATTTACGGTTGAAAGCCGTGCTTGTTATCTATTACCCGGGAATTCTATCAGCTAAATATTATAATTATTGATTTCATTACATAACAAACTGCGATGCTAGGTGTATCTAAAATCAAGCTTACAGCCTATTTTGGTGCCTATTTCTCAAAATTTTCTCAGGGCTCTTAAGCGCGCCCTGAACCCCAGCCGTGTCGTCCCGCACTTTTACTCGCTCCCCTTTTTTGACCCTACAATTTCATTCTGCTGTAGATTTTGGCTTGCCGTCAATCAAATAGGGGGGCCCCCATGTACATCGTTTCTTAAATACATACCATTATTTTAAGAATACAAATAGCCTAGTTATATCTCTAATAGCAAATTATTTACCACCCCCTAAATTTTGAAACACCCCCCCTAAAAAGAAAAGCTGGGGAACATACTGGAGTAGTGCGTTTGACGGCAAAGATCTTATTTTTTCAAAGATAATTCTTGTTATGTTACGAGAGTTTGAAGATAGCAAAGCACCGTTAATTTGCGTCATTCGGGCCTTTGAAACGGAGGCCTCTAATATCTCTTAATGATAATATGGAGAAGCGATATATGTACCTAATCTGGTCCAGGTATTTAGAGTCTTGCTGTTCCATTTTCCCTTGCAGAATGATAGGATTTACATATTTATTCCGGGGGATATGACTACTTGATCATTTGGAGAAAGGCGGCGCAAGGAGTCCAGCAATCCTCTCCAATAATACCCCTGCGGAAAATAACCCACTACCACCGAACTCACGCCTGTTGCGTATTCCCGACGGTTACCACGATGCGCGCCCCGCCGAGCCTAGAAAACTCCAGGCTCGACAACCTTCTGTGGCGTTAACGCTGGCGTCAATGTCGCTTTTAAAAATTGCAGTTCTCAACTTTTTTGCCGATTTCACATGCCGTAATCATATATACTTGATATAATATGTACTTATTTTTAACAAAAGCGGAATAGCGTTATTGATTCGTAATGGCTTCGGGGCATATCAGGTTGTTTTTTACAGTTTTAAAGACGCAGTGAGTCGGATAATTCAGTAAAGACGCAATAATTCGCTTTTGTTCGCTGTGATATATTATTAAGCATTTGTACAAAGAATCCTGAATTGTTCTTTAACTCTTATGCTGTCATCTAATATCTGGAGGATACAATTCTTGTGATAGAATTAAATAAGGGATATATATATATAAACACCGTAGTTTAAAATTTTATCTAATTGTTATATTGGAACAGGTATACCAAGGTCGTGTCGCTCGAGCATAGTTGTGAACTGTTCTAAAAAGCTTTTTAGATTATAGAAGTTTTATAATCAAACCTGTTTTTTTCTTTCTATTTTACCTAATATTTTAGTGGCTAGGTTTTTTATATTTTGTCCATTAGCAATGAACATAATCGCCGTTTTGTTCATTACTATACTGCTGGGCCGTACTGAGAGTCGGATGCCAACAGTATACGAGTTCTGTTCCCATGTTGTCGATAGAGAGGGCCCCAGTCAAGCCACATGTGACTTGAGTCAGTGTAAAGGCAGGCCCGGAAAGCGAGGGCCGATTGGAGAAAAGGGCGATCGAGGTTCTAAAGGGCCAAAAGGCAATCCAGGAACAGCTGAACATTTGGAGCGGAGAATACAAGAACTAGAAGGTCTGAGGAAACATGGAAAGTTATATATGTATATATATAGTTAAGGGAAAGATGCACTTAGTTGGAAAATGTTTGAATTGTTTCATATAGAACAACTTATTTGCTGCGCTGACATATTCAACCAACCCTGTACTAGCGATTTGTGTCAAGGCAAATTTATTAGTGCAATTTTTATACAAAATTACGAATTTACTGGACGATATTTGGTCAGATTTTTCCGTGCAAACCAAATCTTAGAATGACGTTAGAAATCAGAATCTATTGACATTGAATAATATTTCAATGCTTTTCTTTGTCATACTATTAATCGTCACCATGTATTTTTTTTTTCTTTTAGCTTCTCTTGCAAAGTCAAATCAGATTCTTGAATCACTGCCAAAAAGTAAGAATTAATTGATTTATTTTTGAGCTATAATTGCAATTTATGAAATTAATTTGGTAAAGAAAGAAAAAAAACGAAACTATTTTTACGCTTAAGAACACCATAAAGAATGTTGGAAAAAACATGAAAAAGACTTTACTGACTGATTACCACCGGGGGTTATAAACGGTTCATCGGTACATTTCGCAGGTGGAGGTTTTTGAACGGACAATAAAAGTGCTAAAAATATGATCAAAAATTGAAATCTGTACAACTGTTCATCACTTTTCAGGTGCATATTGTTATCTGGGAATGAAAAACCGAGAAATTCCCGATTCCGCAATCACGGCTTCATCAGTGTACGATGGCAACCACAATTCGTATCACGCAAGGCTTGACAGCCGAAACAAACCAAACGACAGTGGTGCTTGGGCAGCAAAATACAGTTAGATATCGTATCTATTTTTTATAAAAAAAAGAATGAAATAGGCAAATAGGAATTCCATCCGAATTGGAGTAGAAGACAAACAAAAAGGGCAGAACATTGCGATTTTGTAAATCACTTGACATCAGAACTGTTCTTGTTTTATTGATGTGATATTTTATCAGAATATGACAACAAAATTCGACTTACTGTAGTTATATTTTCAACTCCATTCCAACTAGAAGGGGTTGCGAATCCTTCTTAATACAGCCGGACTATCCCAACCTATCAAATATTTGTTAATATTTTCATATGCATAGATATGTTAACCTTGTGTTACGATGTATAGTTTGTAGATTATATAATATCATTAGTAAGCATATATAATCATATTTATACATTTAATTATTTATTATCGCCACAAATCTTTTGCTTTGTACCACTGTCAACCTCATTATAGTGAGATTTCTCTCTATCGACACTTTTATATAGTAGCCTACTTTTATCAATATATATATACATATCATCTCAATTACATTACACTACTGACTTCACTCTTACAGATAGAGTTGGTGAATGGCTCCTGGTTGATTTGGGAAAGCCCACTATGGTTGGAGGAGTAATATCTCAAGGAAGGCATGATTATGTTCAATGGATCAAAACATTTACAATATCGTGCGGGTATTCTTCATCTACGTTGGAGCCAATTCAAGAATCCGGATTTACCAAGGTTAGTTTTATTTGACTTGATATCTGCCGGCCAAATATTTTGTAAATAATTTGATTTTTACAGGCTAGTTCCTTAAACCCGTTTCAAGTTGTGGCACGAGTCATTGGAGTCTGACGTCAAGTTTGTCACTGAGCTAAATCCCAATGGTGATTCTTTGCGAAGTCAGATTCATTTCACTTCGATTAATGATGTCTGTGACTCGATTAGTGTCAGTGATTGATTCTCCCCAGCATTGAGTACTCCTGTAGTATATATATGTAATAGATTAGCGTCAGGCCATAATTTTATTCCGATTTTCCCTCATTTTAGTTCCATTACGAGTTCGGGGACTGTCTGTGTTAGCCAAGTGAATATATATACCCTGCCTGTTCTGTTCTGGAATTCGCAAGTTCAGAAAAGACTCAGTGAATGATACACACAAGATTTAATACAGCATAACAAAAGACTTAACTATAACAGTATGACCAAAACAAAACAGTACCTCATGTCAGAAAAAACATTCGACAAGTGTCCGGGCGGATCGCGTACGAGGATGGCAGTTGATTACTTTCTCGGGACTTCTCGTCCCATGTAAACAATGGCCAGACGCGTATACAACACTGTCCATAGGTTTCAATCTCCTCATACAGCTTGGTGTAAAGTACGCGAACAAAATTAGTTACCTCCATATTCGTACATACACTTTTGTAGCGCCGAGTATTGTACACGAATGATAGAACAATCTTTGATGAAAATTTGCAAAAAATACTAAGAGATACTGAAAAACTTAGGTCATACCGATTGATACGATATGTCAGCGCAATCAATGCAACGAGGAAATACGATAGATTTTTTCACAAAGCTGGTAAGGAAATCCGAATCTATAACTAATGTATCCGTCCAGGTTGTACAAAAAAACCATACGTGACATGCATTCACATATGGATGAAACTTAATGTTAATAAACATGACACTGAAGTTGAACATTATTTCACCAGGTGTTTACTGCAAACAGAGACCAAGATACGAAAGTAATCAACATGTTTCCGAGTCCAATATCTTGTCGATATATCAGAGTCAACCCCCAATCTTGGCATGGCCATGTCAGTTTGAGGGTCGAATTTATCAAAGGAGTCTGTTATGATATGTACACGTAATGTGATGAATTTTATGAACATGCCTATATAACATGTGTACGTATGTTGGTCTGTGAATGAAATTCAGCTATGAATGATTCAATTTATATTTCTTACCAATAGAACGTTTATGTTTTTTTAAACCTATGGTACGTAAATTTTGTTAGGTTTGTCGAAACGAATACTTTTAATCTGCAGTACATTGTACGAACCTCTTTTATTGAAAATTTTTCCAATGTTTTGTCAAACAATTTTTTTTAAATTTGTAAATACCTGTCGTGTATGCAGCTTCAAACGGATTAATTTCGGCACGATATAAATTGGTAATTTGTAACGATACTGAACACTAATTATATGATAGTCTCAGCATCCGATATTAACCCTGGCAATTGAATAAATGTTTGTATGTCAAAGTGAAAAGTTTCACCATGAAAATAATACACACGACGTCCAGCATAACCTCGATTTCGGTTTCATTAAAATTTTTGTATATGAATTCCGCATAGTTAAGTTCCAATAAATTCATTAGAGCCGAATTGTTTGTCATGTATTATACATCATGCAGTGGCGTATCTATGTGACGGTGCCTATGACCAAGTTTAAAAATACCGCCCACTTGAACGTTGACTGACATTTTTTAACGACTGCTGTTGAATTGAGATACTTGTATGTTAATATTTGAGTAAAAAAATACGGGTTTCAGTTATTTCTAATCTCAAATTATTTTTTTCCCCTGTACGAACGGTGCCCATGGCACGAGCCGTGACTGCCACATCCTGGATATGCCACTGAGCAGTGGCGTAGCCAGGAGAGTGATTTTGCGGGTCGACCCCCCCCCCCCCTTTGAAATGTAAAAAAATAAAATCATTTTATTGTATCATATATAGCAATTTTTCGTAGCTTGAAATGTTTTTTAGACCCCAAGACTACTAAAAACACGCCTATTTCAGTGTTCGGTCGGACCCGCTAGCAGTTTTGATCTAACTCGGCAAAAACCAATTTCAGAACCCTCCCCCCCCCCCCCCCCCCCCCCCCCCTATGATTTTTCTTTACTCGCAGTGTTTGAGTTTAAACTTCAATTCATTGCCATAAAAAGGACGTTAATCTTTCCTATAAGCCCAATTCGGCCGGGTATTGCACTAAAAGAATGAAAGAAAGGAAAACAAATGTTTCCGGGTGACACAGCATGTCCCCTTGTATAACGGTTAAACTATTTGACACTTCTGTGTAATCGAAAAAACGAATTATAGTTATCTCAATATGTCCCCTACCATACCTTTGCCTAACATTGTCTGTCCCCTTGTAGAACGGTTAAACTATTTGACACTTCTCTGTAATCGAAAAACGATTCATAGTTATCGCAATATGTCCCTGACTAGACCTTTGCTTAACGTACAAAGAATGTGAAATGAATGAATGTGATCTTCTTCAACTTGTCGTGCCTTTGTACACGGCCATTATTCAGAGCTAAATCGGAAACTTGAAGTATATATAATGAATTAAGGTTATGTGTGGCAAACCCATTATTTGACTTGTAATGGCGCCGCTTTGTTTTTTCCCGCTATTTGGCATACACAATGAAACCAAGTTAGTATAAAACAAAAAAGCAATGCTCAGATATTACAGATAAAGGCGCGCTTTGGTACCAGCACGGTAAAGCTTGGGGCGTTGAAAGCACCAAGTTTTTTATAAGATCGGAGAGTGACCAAGGATCATCGGAGTTTTCGGTAATATATCACGTCTCAGGAATTTGAAAAAATATAAAATTTTAAAAATATAAATCATATTTATTGTATACAGTTCTAGCGGCGTCAGCACTTGAATCATAAAATAAAATGAAAACATCCCAAATATTCTGGTTTACAATTTTAATGCACGTTGTGAGCTGTCATATGCCAAATGTTTCTGAATTCTACTCACGCGTTGTAGCAAACGGGGACACGAGTCAGCTGACTTGTAATTCGAGTCAATGTCAAGGCAGGCCTGGTAAACGCGGACCACAAGGACCAAGAGGATTAACAGGATCAAAAGGTCAAAAGGGCGAACAAGGAACTGCAGAGAATCTGAAACGAAGAATTAGAAAACTTGAAAGTAAAAAAAATTATCATGCTCATTAATTAAGCTTCATTATTTTTTCACCCTTTTGACTTCTCTAAAATAAATATTCAGTTACAACGCTCTGTTTGTATTCAGTGGTACTGCTCTTCCAACATGTAATACCTGCATGGATCACAATAGCATTGTGCAACAATATCTATAACTTCAACGTTGGTGATGAGCTGCAATTAAGGGTGTGCAAAATTTCTGCCGCCCAGAGCGAGTTTCTGATAATGGCGCCCTCATGCCTAATTTCAAAAATAATTTTGGGTATAAACAGATTAGAACTGTTGTTATTGATGAGAATGAATAAATTTAAGGCCAAGTAAGAGTGAAGTGCTTGTATTATTGCTCTAATTCGCGCACTGGCCAAAAGAGCACATTGCGATGAAGGACAGTCGGCCATTACTGACTAACCACCACAATTAGTCACACAAGATCAGACTCGTAATGTCAGCTTTTACTTCAATAGAAACATATGGAGAAACACATGCGTAATAACACTAATTATAAAGCTTGAATCTGCCTCCCCCCCAGCAACATACTACCAGAGGCGGCTGCCCCTATAGGTCGCCTCTGGCTGCATCTAGAATAAAGAGCAATCCAATATAGTTTTGAGCATGACGAAGTTCAATTGCGCTTGTAATATGAGCAAATGTGACTGCTGAATTAGAAAATACGCATGTCATTATTTTGGCGCGCAAATAGTGTGAAATATTTAACATCATGCGACGTGGTACTCTTACCCGAACAAATACTAATGACTAACTCCAGTTTGCAATTATTTTAGGTTCGCTTGCAAAGACAAGTCAGATTGTTGAGGCTTTACCAAAGAGTGAGTATCAAGAAAATGGAAGTTTGTTTTGTTGATCTGAGTTGACGTAAAAATTAGAAGTGAATGCCTTGTTGAGACGGACATAACGATCGTTTCAATATTATGTTGTTGTTCTTTGACTCGTTTTGAAGTAATCGCTTTTCTCTTTGATTACTGTACCAATTGCTTTGGAACTTTTTCAGTGAGTAAAGATTATATTTTTTGCTAGAGGGCTATTACTTTTATTTTTTGCTATGAAGTCATCAAAATTATTGCCACTAGGTGTCCATATATTTGAGCATAGCTCTCTTGTATATATCACGAAATTAACTGATCATTCTGTCGTCGAAGTGATAGTAAGATATTGGGTAAAATATTTTGTCGATTTACCCTGGGCCCTGAAAGACAATAATAATATAATAATAATAATAATAATAAAGGCGCTTAGACTTATCGGAAAAGAATTTGAAAAATATGTCCAACATATTCCAGGAAATATTAATGCAGAACAGCTTCAAAAAACCGTTCTTCTTGGAACAGCTCACATCTTACGTAAAGTACTTTCTATCAACTGATGACCTTGGCATGACCTCAGGAACTTGGAAAGTTTCCGGTCGCCAGAAGGGTAAAATAATAACATAAAAAAAGAAACTAAGAAATAATGATATAATAATATAATAATATAAAGAATATAATAATATAGATGGCCGGGCATCATGATTATTTCTTTAAGGTTTATTCTTGTATAAAATGCGTATCGTATCAGATGCAGTATCATAGCATACTGCACCTTTCACTGATGATATTCAATAATATCAAAGATCACATTTTTGGGCACAAAATAGCTCTATGGAATCGTTTTGTTATTATGTTGTTGTTGTTTTGAAAATTTGCTTTTCTCATTAACTACCAATTGTTTTAAAAGTTTAAGATTGCTGTTGTCGATTGAAGGCTTATTTTTATTTATGTTATAAATTTCTTTGAGATTCTTTTTTCACTCTGTGTACTTGTATCGGTTCCGCAACAACATGTTTCTGACCTCTTGGTGAGCAAAGACGAAAGTTTCTGATAAAGCTGAAGGTAGAATACCAGACTACCGGTACTGTCAAAGATTTGATACCGCAATAGTGACTCGACTCATTTGGTATTCCCATTCGCATTGAGAATGAACGCATGATCATTATCGTCGCAGAACCCGGGAAAGCTTGGACAGTCCGTGTACCGGTAACAGAGGCTTGTCAAACTTTTCTGCCGTCCGGTGCGAGTTTCTGATAATTATGCCCATTATACCTAACTTCAAAAATAATTTTGGAAAATCAACTTTTAAATGTTGTTATACACGAGAATAAATAAATTAAAGGTCAATTAAGAGTGAAATGTTCGTATCAATAATATCCAAATCATCAAACTAAGCAATAAATTCACACCTATAACGTGCTACCCTGCTGCTCTTATGGCCCCCTTCTTGACTCTCCACGGTACCCCGGTACTGGTATGTTACAGTACCTGTTCCACACTTCCAGCTTCGTTGAGGATATGATTTTGGGGACAAAGTTTGAATTTGGTTTTCGTGCTCTTATATTTGAGGATAGCGCTGTTATTTATTATCATACTGTTAACCTTACTATCAATTATAGGTGCGTATTGCTTTATGGGAATAAGAAACAGAGATATACCGGACTCAGCTATTACAGCTTCCTCGATATGGGACGGAAATCATAACGCGTATGATGGAAGGCTTGACAACAGAAATAAACCAGGAGATGTAGGAGCATGGGCGGTCCGGCACAGTTAGTCATGACATATTTTAAAAGATTCAATATCATTTAAATGGAATGTGATAATTTAATTAAAGGCTACTTGATTTTTTGATTCATAAAATAATTATTGCCAACGATTTAATTTATGTAATGCTAGAACGGAGGGGCGAATGGCTCCAAGTAGACTTTGGAAGACCGGAACGAGTTGGTGGAATAATTACACAAGGAAGAGAAGCTTTTTCCGAGTGGGTCACCTCTTTCAAAATTTCTTGCGGTCTAACTACTAGAACCCTGGCTACCATACGAGAGCGTGGTAGAGAAAAGGTAGTTAAATTGTTTTCTTATACGTCGTGACTAACTAGTTTAGTGACTATAATTTATCAAAACTACATCTGAAAACAATCTTCAGAATAAAATTTTACTTTTTTAAGAAAGTAAACGCAAAAGCAACTTTATGTAACTCTTGGATTGATGATAAAAATTGACAGTAATGAATGTAATACTTGATTGTTATCTCAAAGAATAAGAACCTATTGAATGATATCCTATCTACTTCAAATATTGAAACAATCCATGGCGAGTCACAGAAAATGTAAAACCGTTCTTGCTGAATGTTGAATTTATGCAATTTTTGAATGTTCAACTTTCTTGTTAATAGTTATCATTATTCCACTCCAAACAAA